ATAAAGCACATCAAATGAAATACAGGGTTAGTCCCCAGGGGTCACCCCCACCCCCTGCTATTTAAGAAAGTTCTAATATCTTGTAAATGGTTGAGATCCCAACCCCTAAACCATATATATTCTGGTTTGTCATGATAAAGCACATCAAATGAAATACAGGGTTAGTCCCCAGGGGTCACCCCCACCCCCTGCCATTAAAGAAAGTTCTAATATCTTGTAAGTGGTCAAGATCCCCACCCCTAAACCATATATATTCTGGTTTGTCATACCAAGATGGTTTGAATGATATACAGGGTTAGTCCCCAGGGGTCATCCCGACCCCCTGTCATTTGAGAAAGTTCTAATATCTTGTAAATGGTCAAGATCCCCACCCCTAAACCATATATATTCTGGTTTGTCATACCAAGATGGTTTGAATGATATACAGGGTTTGTCCCCAGGGGTCATCCCGACCTCCTGTCATTTGAGAAAGTTCTAATATCTTGTAAATGGTAGAGATCCCCACCCATAAACCATATATATTCCTGTTAATCATGTCTAGAACATTTGAATGACGTATACGGTCAGTCCCCAGGGGTTCCCCCCACCCCAAATGTTCTAATATCTTGTAAATGGTCGTGATCCCCACCCCTAAACCATATATATTCCTGTTCGTCATGTCTCAAACATTTGAATGACGTTTAGGGTCAGTCCCCAGGGGTTCCCCCCACCCCAATGTTCTTGTATCTTGTAAATGGTTGAGATCCCCACCCCTAAACCATATATATTCTGGTTTGTCATGCCAAGATGATTTGAATGATATACAGGGTTAGTCCCCAGGCATCACTAATGCATATAACTTTACTGGACCAAACCAATTTTCACAGGACTTTGTCCAATGTCAGGCGACCCTGGGAATTACGAATTAAGGGAGCTTCGTTTGGGAGACTTCGTAACATCATCCTGTTACAATCATTTCTTGTGTATCTTGGCATTGCACAAGGTCATATTTTTCTTAGACTGTTTATGACGTCTTTACACTCAATCCATTGGATGTTGGATGTGTATGATTGATAATTAAGTCTTAGATGCATGATTTTTTTTTATTAGTTGTTATTGGCTTTGAACTAGCTGTCAGTAACCGCGAGTACTATCAGATCTGTACTTAGTGTCTTTTTGTTGTTGGGATGTACAAGTACCTGTTCATATCCACTCAAACAACTAAAATAAAAAAAGTGGGGGTATACTGTTTTACCTCTGTCTATCTGTCCGTCCATCCGTCAGTCTGTCAGTCCGTCCGTCCGTCCCATGAATATTTTTCGTCACATCTTTCTCAGGAACTACATTACAAAGATTTCTGAAATTTGGTGTCAGGGTTTATATGAGTCAGCTATACAGTGTGATATGTTTTCAGATTCATCACTAAACTACTTCCTGTTTACCGAACACTTACATCATTTTACACATGACATCCAAGTTGAAAATTTTCGTCACATTTTTCTCAGGAACTACATTACAAGGATTTCTGAAATATTGTTGCAGGGTTTATATAAGTCAGCTATACCGTGTAATGCGTTTTCAGATTCATCACTCAACAACTTCCTGTTTACCGTCAAGTATTTGGGCGGGGCTATCATCAGTGAGCAGTAGCTCGTAGTTTCACTTGTTTTATATGTATTTCTATTTGTATCCATCTGATGAGTTAAGCCTTTTTCAACTGATGTTTATAGTTCGTTATAATGTTGTACTGTTGCACAACTGCCCCAGGTTAGGGGAGGGTTGGGATCCAGCTAACATGTTTAACCCCGTCACATTCTGAATGTATGTGCCTGTCCCAAGTCAGGAGCCTGTATTTCAGTGGTTGTTGTGTGTTGCTGTGTTACTTATTTGTTTTTCGTTCATATGATAGATATACTGTTCCCTGGTTCATGGTATTGGAGACACTGCCACCTTTAACATTTTAAGGTTAAATGAGTCATATGTGACAAATCAGTGTCCTTTTTTGTCTGAATTTTTGAAGGTAATCCTTTACGATATTTGACCATAGTAGAAATTTTGTAGAATCGAATTGTTAGGAAATTGTTTCTAGGCCAAAACGGGAGGAAGTGCAGGGTTTCTTTTTTTTTTTGTATCGTACCATTTACCACCATCAACGCTGAATTCAATATGGTGTGCCATTCCGCTAGCTGGGCAACCGTAGCTCTTATATGGTTTTTTGACAATTTGCGGACAACAGACTCTATGATATGTAAATTGTCAAAAATATATCACAAGAATAAGAGTTACGGTTCCATAGCTATACCTAAACATCGGCTACATCTGTAAATCTGTTATAAATAAGAGTATTTTATATGTTTCTCCAGAGAAAAAAATTATTTGAGCGCACTTTATAGCTTGCTGTTCAGTGTGAGCTAAGGCTCTGTGTTGAAGTCCGTACTTTGACATATAATTGTTTACTTTTTGGATAGAGATCTAGAGTTGTCTCATTGGCAGTGGATCATACCACATCTTTGTATTTCTCTCTCTATATATATGTCTCTGGTAAAATAGTAGTTTGTATACGACCGCAAAAAAAATTTTGTGGTCGTATATTGGTATGACGCTGGCGTCGTCGTCGTCCGGCGTTGGCGTCGTCCGAAGACACATTAGTTTTCGCACTCTAACTTTAGTTTAAGTGAATGGATCTCAATGAAATTTTACCATAAGGTTCAATACCACAAAAGGAAGGTGGGGATTGATTTTAGGGGTTATGGTACCAACAGTTAAGGAATTAGGGGCCAAAAATAAGCATTTTTGTAACTTCCAGACATAACTTGTGTGTAAGTGTATGGATCTCTCTGACATTGTACCACAAGGTTCCATATCACAAAGGGAATGCTGGGATTGATTTTGGTGGTAATTGCCTCCAAATTTTAGGAATTAGGGGCCAAAAAGGGGCAAAAAACAAGCATTTTTCTAGTTTCATGACAAAAACTTGTGTGTAAGTGTATGGATCTCTCTGACATTGTATCACAAGGTTCCATATCACAAAGGTAATGCTGGGATTGATTTTGGGGGTAATTGCCTCCAAATTTTAGGAATTAGGGGCCAAAAAGGGGCAAAAAACAAGCATTTTTCTAGTTTCATGGCAATAACTTGTGTGTAAGTGTATGGATCTTTCTGAAATTGTACTACAAGGTTCCATATCACAAAGGGAAAGCTGGAATTGAGTTTGGGGGTAATTGACCAAAAAGCTTAGGAATTAGGGGCCAAAAATAAGCATTTTTCTAGTTTCCAGACAATAACTTGTGTTCAAGTGTATGGATCTCTCTGAAATTGTACTGCAAGGTACCATACCACAAAGGGAAAGCTGGGTTTGAGTTTGGGGGTAATTGCCCTAAACGTTTAGGAATTTGGGGCCAAAAAGGGGCCAAAAAACAAGCATTTTTCTAGTTTCCAGACAATAACTTGTGTTCAAGTGTATGGATCTCTCTGAAATTGTACTGCAAGGTACCATACCACAAAGGGAAGGCTGGGATTGAGTTTGGGGTGATGAATCATGAGGGGGTTCAAAAAATTTGGGGGGGGATTTTTTTTTCTTTTTTTTCTTTAAAATTTTCCATTTTAAATTGGTTATTTCTGATTTATATATAAAAGCAAATAATAATGATATGGTTTGAATAGGTAAATTAAAAATATTTAAGTTCTTAGACCACTTTCATTCTGTGTCAGAAACCTATGCTGTGTCAAATATTTAATTACAATCCAAATTCAGTGCTGTATCAAGCTTGAATGTTGTGTCCATACTTGCCCCAACTGTTCAGGGTTCGACCTCTGCGGTCGTATCAAGCTGCGCCCAAGCGGAGCATTTTATTTTCCTTATGTTCATAGTTGTATATTATTCATTTTATTTATTTAAGATGAATGAATATTTCTTTTATTTTACCTATCGAGAAGTTTAAGTTTTATAAACACCACGCACGTGCATAAATGTAAACACAGAATTGTGTGTGTGATTGCATATAATTTCCATAATTGTCACTGTGTCAATGAAAAAGGTGTGTCATTTAATGTCAACTTCCAATCAAAGCCTGGTGACAAAGTTCACCTTCTGATATTTAAAGGATCAACTATTTGTAGCTCAGGTAAAACATGTCAACAAAAGTATCGTAACAGGTCACTGGCCTTTGTAGAAGTTCTGATTGTTTTCCAAAGTTTTAATACCACGTCACTAATTCCATCTCTTCAGTTGGATATTTCCACAGTTTCAAATCATTTAAATGTATTTTTGCTCGATTAATATCTTCATCAGTTAAATTTATTTTCATAAAATCTTGAGTGGATGCCATTGTTATAACCGATTTGTTTGCATGAGGTGCGGTCATGTGACTGATAAATGAATACTCATTACTAATTAGTGACGTATCTACCAATCTACCAATCTTTGCTATTGTGTGTCTTTTTATCTTTTCCTTTTGTCATGGTGTTGTCCTTTGACTTGTTATCTTATTTTTTATACAACAATCTATGTAGACTGTAAAAATACTGGTTGATATTTTAGATATGCATGAATACCAATATTAAATACCCTCCCTCCCTCTCCCATTGAATTTTTTAAGTCACTATCTGAAAACCAGATTTTTCATGGCCTGACATAAAAGTCAAGTCACAAATTTAAAACTTGACTCTCAAAAGTTTTAATTTTTATATAAGCTTACTCCTTCAGGTGAGTTGTACTGATTTGCTCCATTTTTTAGTTAGTGAGAATAATGGCTGCCGACCCCCAAATTGTGTTACTTATATAGACCTTTTTGTGTTAATTTGGGATTATACCTTGTTCATATTTCTTAGAGATAAAAGCAACCATCTTTCAGAACTCAGTAATGATTATACAAACTTTTATGGGAAAGTATAGCATTTCCCTTGCAGGAATGCTTTGAAATTTAAGTTTAAAGATCTTTTGAAATTACAAAAACTCCTTATATCATTTGGTTATTGAAATCTTGAAATAGTTATAGGGTACATTATATTTAATTTGCCAGGTATGTTCAGTCTTTCCTAGCCAGTTACATAGACACCAGAACAGACGTCTTTTGGATTGGACTAACAGATAAATCGACTCCAGGGACTTACAGTTGGGTACAAGGGCAAACAGACTACTTTACATTTTGGGACAACACACATACAGGTAATATCTCTGACAGGTTTTTTCTGATTTGTTTCCAGGCAATGTGAAATATGTGTATTCCATATTTTCAGAAATGCTTGTGCAAAAATTGACTTGTTTTATGAAAACTGTAGATATTCAAAATTATTACAAGTCAAATGTTCAAAATTGGTTAAAAAATCTAAAAACATTAGGAAGAAAATATGAATATTATAATCAACTATATCATATCAGATATAATGCACTTCAACCTCTGGAGCATAACCATGATTTCCAAATATACCCCTCATTCATATTCAGATCTGTAAATGTATTAATATTTAAAAATTTGATAATTTGATAAATGTAATTGTCTTAATATTTAAAGCAGTAATTGATTTGCATTGAAATGCAAAAAACTAAACTATTTACTTCAGGGAATGAAAAGAATACTTGTGTTGCCATGAGAACAACTCACCCAATTGGATTATGGGGAAATAAGCAGTGTACTGAGCTACACAACTACATTTGTGAAACACCAAGGACAGGATTCACTGCGGCCCCATCAACAATTCCACCCAATGTACCCTGTCCTACTGGTTGGAACCAGTATTCATCTTACTGTTATAAGGTATACTCTTTATTATTGGTACATACATTATTTTTGAAAGGAAGAGATGTGTACATCTGAGAAAGCATTTAATTTTTGTTCAAATGGCAATATATTACATATTTTTTACCACAGAGAGGTGCAATTCCCTCAGGTTATTGCAATTATAAATTCAGAACAGACCTCCAAAAACTAAAAGAGTTCTAAACTTCTTTTAACTTTACCATAAAGGAGGCCCCTCATGGGGGTGTCCAAGTATTCACATAATCACAAATTTTTTGCCAATATAATCACATAATCATAAATTATTTTTTTAAACAAGATAATCAAATAATTAAAAATACAGTCCTAGATTATCAAATAATCAAATAATCATGAAATATTTGGTCTTGTAATCAAATAATCACTATAAAAACGGCCAAGTATTCACATAATCAAAAACCGCACGAGAAGGCTCATAAAGGACACAATTTGCTATTAATGAAATTCATATTCTAAATGGAAATTGTGTTTCTCAGATGCTTTAACAAAATCAATTGATCATTGTCATTGTCCATTGACAAATACCAGGGTAATGCCCTTTTGCACTTAGAAATTTGTACCCCCTGCTCCAAACATGGTGTGGGAACATTGGGTGTAGGCTGGTGTACATTTGTTTGCCTTGTCCATGAAATTTTTGTTCCATTTTTCTTAGGATCTACAAATCAGACCTTCCCACAATTGGGAAACAAGCTTCATGAGACAAAGTGGCACTGTGTTGTGGATTTTGACATTCATAGCTCATCATCTTCCAGTTCACAAAATACTTATACTGTGGATTCATTTATTTTCGTGGCATCAATTTTCGTGGATAGAGAAAAAAGACATTTTGTGGGATACGTAAATTCGTGGATTGCTGTTTCAAAAATAAAAAAAAAATTTAGATACGTCAATTCGTGGATCTCTGTTTTAATAATAAAAAATAAAAGATAGAAATTCATTTAAAATGTTTGAATTGTCAAAATCCTCGCTTGGCCATTCTAGGTTAAAATGTTTATTTAAAACCTTGATTGTAAGAATGGACAAAGGCAACTGATTATTTGTTTGTTTTGTTTAAAAAATTTATAATTCCTCGCAGATAGGTATTCAAAGCCCTTCGATGTACAGCTGATTGAAAGTTATTTTCCCTAATCACGACATATTAGCAGTGATTAGAAAATTATCAAAAGTAAGAAATACGCTTACGATGTTTGCAGTCCAATCTCATAAAGTAAAGCATGCTACAACATTTACTCATCGCATAAAGTCTGATGAACATGTAAAAGGCTATTTTTTTTCTAAATTTTAAGTTTATGTTGGAAATAATTTTTTCATTTAATTTTAATGAACGATTTTTGTCTCGCCTTGACGGAGTCAAAAAGCGAGACATAGGTATGCTGTTTCCGGCGATGGCTGCGTCAACAATGTATTAGTTTGTGATTAGGTCTAGTTCATGGTGAACCACTAGTGGTAGGTCAATGATATTTGGTATGCAGTTGTATAAGCATTAGCACATCTCATTTCCATGGAGAATATTTGGCCCGGCCCCCTCAGTCATGGTTTATTTACTTTGAAACTTTTGCTTAGTTTACATGTATTAGTTTGTGATTAGATCAGTTTAAGATGAACTGCTAATGTTAAGTCAATGATATTTGGTATGCAAATTTATTGGCATTTGCAAGTATCGTTTCCATGGGGATTATATAGCCCAACCCCTGATCATGGGTCATTGACAAGGGTCCGGAAACGGTCATATTTGCCAGTCATGTCCTAAGATGAAACTATTTGTCCTAAACGAGTAATTGGGATTTAGGACAAATTTTATTTTTTTACAGAAGTAATTTCGGTCAATTCATTGACTCAATGTTTGAAATCGGATTTCTTAATCGCCATTTTGGATTTCTGATCACTTGTTTTTGTTTATAATCCTTTTCCTGTAATAAAACTGCCACTACAGTAGTTTGATAATCCTGAGGGCCCTCTTAATATCTATATCAATGCCTCCGGGAAACATTGGCTAATGATCGCTAATCACTTTTTACCTGTGGTTTTAATATTCACACCTGACAGTGATCACAAGCTCAGAATAATATCTTTAAAACATTAAAGTTCCCTGACAAGTGTATTCATTATTTATTTACTTTTCATCAAAGACAGTCATCAATTCTGATTTAAATATTAAATCCAAATTTTGATACGTAGAAAAAAGTACTATTTCATGAGTATTAACACATGCGCTTTATTTACTGTGTAATACGCATGCGTGAAATTGTCTTCAGCAAAAATATTTAATCGTAAAATGCAAATTGATCTCATTCTAAATTAAACGAGTGCAACTATTATCTGTTATATTCAAACACTTTTAAAGGTAATAAAATAAAAAAAGCAGGTGATTTCCTGTCAATTTGATAAACAAAACAAATCCCGGAAATGAATCCGGAATTATTCATACTTTAAAATATCGCAAACTTCCGGTTTTAACTTTTGTCAAATCGAAAGAAACGTAAGCAATGTCTGAGAAATTAACCATTTTGGGTCATTAAAATCATTTCAATTTTAGACTGTTGCCTTCCCTAAACTGTCCTTCATGGTAATGGTAAGACATTTACTTAGTAAATGCGGTGAAACAGCAATACAAGTTCGTCATGTTCGTTGATGCTATGAATATAGTCAAGTTGATATCGACAATTTGAAAAGGGGCATCAACTTTTCAAACATCTCAAAATGACCGAAATTGTCTGGAAAAATTTCCGGATCCTTGGTCATTGACTTTGAAACTTTTACATAGTTTACAAGTTAATGTTTGTGTTTAGGTTTGTTTAAAGGAACGACTTATAATAAGTCAATGGTATTTGGTAGACAGTTGTATTAGCATTGGCACATCTCATTCCATGGAGATTGTTTAGCATTGTACCTTCAGTCATGGTTCATCGACTTTGAATATTTGCGAAACTTACATGTTAAAGTATTGCTATTTTAATTTCAACATTTGCATTTTCAAAATTACAAAAAGGCGAGACATATCTCTGTGATAACAGTTTATGAATTTTATTTGTAAAATTTTTTATTTGTATCAATAAATGAATAAAAGGATTATAATAAATGGGTTACAAGTGTACATCACAATGTGTTCTTGTGCAAGTAAATTATCAATTTGATAAAAATTTGTTAACTGTCCAGAATAAAGGTGTGAAATTTAATGTTCCTGTCAAAAACTATATTACCTAAGGCCAATATCCTGTATTTAATCCTATTGATTTTTTAATCACCAATTAACCAAATTGTGACACGGTAATTAACAACTTGCAGTTATTTCTGATGAACTATTTTAATCAATTTAAAAAACTAAAGTAAATTCTCAATGATATTCTACAGATTTCCTCATTTATCTAACCAAAATATTTTCATAATTTATTTCAAGAACAAGTTTTATGTTACCATGTTTATTGCAAGTCGACACATAATTCTAGAATTGCACAACATAACCGGAAATAAACATCCGGCTGAATACTCATTTCTTGGAATGATTCTTCGTTGAATTCTTAAATTTGTGGTTTGCTCTGACCCAAGAAACTCTTAAAATTGGTATACCATGAATAAAAATGAATCCACAGTAGGTATGTGTTCTTACACACAATGGTCATGTAGGAAATTTACATCCATATTTTAAGGAACTCTTTATCAGAGCCTCTTGAAATTTCATACCAAGCTTCATGTGAGCATGTTTTACTGTGGTGTGTTTTCACATTCATGGCTTATCAACTTTCTGTTTAACAAAATTTTATCACAGGGGGATCATTAGTGAGCAATATATACAGTTCAACTTGTTTATACTTTTTAGTATGCACTCTGTGGACCTAGGTCCTTCTTTCATCAACTGTTCATGAAGCTATGTACATTGAAACATCCGTATATAAAGAAGTGCATATTAGTAGGGCAAAAATCCCAAAGCTATGTTCCCTTTTCACATTCACTTTTCTCATGGTATTCAGTATTGATGCATAAACTAGAATATAAATCAACACTTACATGCCTATCATTGTTGCTAAGAAAAAGAGGAAGTAGGAGGTAATTGTCTTTCTCCACATAAAATTATGTTTTATGTAATCCTCACTTATTTTACCATTGCAGACTAATGAGTTACTGTATGTACGAATGCTCTTGTTTATGTGAGTTTAAATTTTTATAAGGCCCTTTTTAACTATGCTTTACATTTCAGAAATACTCGTCATCAGCACAGAAATTAAGCTGGGAAGCATCAAGAGATTTCTGTAGAGGTCTGGGTGGTGACTTACTCAGTATTCATGATCAGAATGAATTAAACTTTGTAAAGACTAATTTACTGATGTAAGTGGATAAGTTATATAAATTTCCTCTTATCCTTCGGTTGTATTGTCTATCACCTATGTCATTTATTTGATCGGGTTTGTGTTTCTCATTATTCTAATTATCATGTAGTTTTAAGTGGATAATTGCTTATAATCTGAGACTACTATAACACAGAGATTGGTCACTCGCGATTTCGTAATAAAACAGTGTCTACTGGACTGGTAAAGTTAACTACGTTATTTTGACATAGTTTTGTATGAACAGCTAGGAACTTCAGTTTCGTATTTAACCATAGCAGACGACATATAGTCAGTGTTCCTGCTTTTATACCTAATCAGTATCGGGTATTTTTCTCTTTAAAAGGAAATAAAACAAAACAAAATAAATTAAATTGAATAAAAAAAAAAATAATCTATCCATTGCAGTTATCAGTATTCATATTCATTTATTTATTTTTTAATTATTAATAGTTTTTAACTATGCGACTCTTGAAAATGTGAATGGATCTGAATGTGTACAGATTAATCTCATTAATCTTACATTGTTTTACTTCAGGTCAGTTAATTGTATCTAATATACAAATATTTTACGTGTAAAGACAGGTAGTTTCAAAAGCATAGGAAACGAATTTTAATTTCACAGCTTGTTTGCCCAAGATACACAAAGGCTCCGTTTATTGCAGTAAACCTTTATTTTATACCTGTAAAAAAACAGGTAGGTTCAAAAGCATGCGAGATGAATTTTTGATTTCACAGCTAGGTGCCCAAGATACACAGAGGCTCCGTTTATTGTAGTAAACCTTTATTTTATACCTGTAAAAATAGGTAGGTTCAGAAGCATGCGAGATGAATTTTGATTTCACAGCTGTGTGCCCAAGATACACGAAGGCCCCTTTTATCGTAGTAAACCCTAAACACTTGATGATTATAAAAATGTCATCCGAGTATTTATTTGATTTTTTTTGTTTCAAATTAAACAGATCTTTTAAAAAACTGAAGAAAAAAAAGGATTCAATAATTTCCGATTTCGTTTTTGTCGAGCCTGCGACTTTTGTCGCAGAAAGCTCGACATAGAGATAGTGATCCAGCGGCGTTAACTAATTTCTTAAAAGCTTTATATTTTAGAAGGTGGAAGACCTGGATGCTTCATGCTTTGCATAAAGATGCCTTATGTTACGAAGTTTCCGTCTGTCACATGTCCATTGTCCTTGACCTCATTTTCATGGTTCAGTGACTACTTGAAAAAAAAGTTAAGATTTTTTGTAACGTTAATTTCTCTCTTAATATGAGTAATAGGATAAATATATTTGGTATGTGCGTACCTTGCAAGGTCCTCATGCCCGTCAGACAGTTTTCACTTGACCTCGAACTCATTTCATGGATCAGTGAACAAGGTTAAGTTTTCGTGGTCAAGACCATATCTCAGATACTATAAGCAATAGGTCTAGTATATTTGGCGTATGGAAGGACTGTAAGGTGTACATGTCCAACTGGCAGGTGTCATTTGACCTTGACCTCATTTTCATGGTTCAGTGGTTATAGGTAAGTTTTGGTCTTTTTTCTAATACTATATGCTATAAGTCAACTATATTTGGTGTATGGAAATATTTCAGTCTCGCAGGTTTTATTTGACCTTGACCTCATTTTCACGGTTCATTGCTCAGTGTAAAGTTTATGTGTTTCGATCTGTTTTTCTTAAACTATAAGCAATAGGTCAACTATATTTGTTGTATGGAAGGATTGTAAGCTGTTCATGACTGCCTGGCATGGTTCTTCTGACCTTGACCTCATTTTCACGATTCATTGGTTAATGTTTAGTTTTCTTGGTTAAGTCTGTTTCTTAGAAACTATAAGCAATAGGTCAACTATATTTAGTGTATTGAATGATTGTAAGGTGTACAAGTATTTCTAGTTTGGTTTATATGACCTTGACTTCATTTTCTTGGATCATGTTAAGTTTATGTAATAGTGGTAGTAAAGCTTTTATTTAGGACTATCAACATAATATCAATGGTTAGTAAAGAAGGCGAGACATTTCAGCTTGTGCACTCTTGTTTTCCATTAACAATACAAATTGACCTATCAGACTTCATGTTATGTAGTATGCACCTTGACTGGTGTACATGTACTTCAGGGAAACTCTAATGCAGGCAAATTGGTATTTCATATAATTACAAACTTTACATCACTGCATAGGATTATGTCTAAAGAATGCAGTTATATTATTCGGAAAACAAATTGTACATCTGAATTTAACCCACTAACAATACAAATTGACCCATCAGACCTCATGCTCTGTAATATGCACCTTGACTGGTATACATCTACTTCAGGGGAACTTTAATGCAGACAAATTGGTATTTCATATAATTACAAACTTTACACCACTGCATAGGATTATGACTATAGAATGCAGATGTGCTTTCCGGAAAACAAATTAATCATCTGAATTTTACTCATTAGCAATATAAATTGACCTTGTCTAACAGACTACTAGTTATAACACGCGGTTACTTTCAGGTTTGATTAGTAAATTCAAGTCTATAAATGCACTTACTTTATTTATTGTGCTTATAAACGAACATTTATGAACATTTCAAATCTTATTTTCATACTTACCTTAATATAGCACTCTTCAATCAGCCACATTAGTTAAAAAATTAGATATTATTTTTGCTTCCGTTTTTAACAATGGCGGATCGATGCCTTCTTGTCAATCATTCCGCGTCACCTGATCATAGACATCTTATTAATTACAATTTGACTGGTCAGTACAGGAAGTGACCAATCTCTGTGTTATAGTAGTCTCAGTTATCATTTAATTTTTTCTCTCTTTTGTTATCTGTCCTTAGATGTGTGATATTGATTTTCCTTTTGTATAGTCATGTTTTTTTCTTTTGCATTTTAAAATTGTTTTCAATAAAGAAGTTGATTTCCAGTAAAGCCTCTACCTGACACTAATAATAGTCAGAACATAATGATATCTTTATTGTTTCCAAAATTGTAATTTTTAAACCTTTTTTCATCATTGCATTTTAAAGTCATATGAAACGAGTTTCTTGTAATTTTTATATTATAAAAATTATTGAACCAATGCATGCATATACACTGAACTAAGTCCTGTATGCACGTTTTTATACGCCCGTTTACGGGACGTATTATGGTATACCGTTGACCGTCTGTCCGTCCTTCCTTCCGTCGTCAACATGTTGGACATTAACTCAAAAAAGCTTTAACCAATATGCATGAAACTTTGGTGAATTGTTTATATCTATTGACGTGAGCTCCCTTTCGTTTTTTATTAATTTCAGATTTACGGTTTCTGAGTTTTGGGGTTTTATTCATTAAAAAAGGGGGGATTTTCCAGTTTTCCGACAATAACTCAAGAATGCTTTCACCAACTAGCAAGAAATTTTGGTGAATTGTTTATATCTATTGACATGAGCTCCCTTTTGATTTTTATAAATTTTAGATTTTACGTTTCTGAGTTACAGGGTTTTATTCATAAAAAAGGGTGATTTTCCAGTTTTCAGACAATAACTAAAAAATGCTTTCAGCAGTTCTAATGAAACTTTGGTGAATTGTTTATATGTGTTGATGTAAGCTCCCTTTAGAATTTTATAAATTTTAGATTTTACATTTCTGAGTTATGGGGTTTTATTCATTAAAAAAGGGGTAATTTTCCAGTTTTTGGACAATAACTCGAAAATGCTTTCAGCAGTTCTCATGAAACTTTGGTGAATTATTTATAGCTATTGATGTAATCTCCCTATTGATTTTCATAAATTTCAAATATATTATCTACAAATAATATTTCATTCAGTGATTGTTAAATGCAAGCTAATTAACTTTCAAGTTTGTTGCCAAAGTTTACCTGATCGTGACATTGATAAACAATCAACACAGAGCACTTTGAACATGTAACAAATATGTGAATTGTTAGAGACATTATAAATTTTGTCTCACCTGTGACAAGGGGTCTGGGAAAGCGAGACATAGGGATTGCTTTTCCAACGACAACAACATCAACAATTGTTAAGTTTTCTGCTTAAGAAACTACTTGTGATAGATCATTGATATCTGGAACTACTTGTGATAGATCAATGATATTCTGTATAAAGTTGCCTTACTGTCTATACATCTCAGTTTGTTGACCATTTAGAGGCCCTGACCACTAGATCATGGTCCAGCTACTTTGAATTAATAAGCAATGTTGCTGTCCATTAGATCTTTTTTTTTGTGAATTTTATGCTGACAGGCAAGACATATCTCTGTGTCAACAGTTTATTTTATATTTTCCATGTTTTCCCATTTATTAATTAAACTTTTCCTTTACAGTTGTTAAATGATTTGTTGTATTAAATTTGTTCTTTTAGAATAGCTATTACTATTTATTTCCAGTGCATGTTTGTTTACATTCTTTCATCATGGTTTCCCCCTAGCACTTGCGCTGTGCGGTGGCTGAAATTCTAACGAGAGGTCTCGTAGTTAAGGTCATTGCATATGGGAAAATATTGGTGAATTAGTGTACAGGAAGACAATAATTCAATAGTAGTACAATAATGAAGATTTCGATAATATAAAGGATTTTCTTTTACAAGAGAGTTAACGTACACATGTTTTAATGTAAAACTCAGCCATTCAAGTGTATAAAACATATTCAATTTTTTTTTTAAATTTGAAGTTTCATATGACTTTAAGATATTGTAAAATCTTGCTTAATTTAGTTTTATTTTGCATTAAAGAGATTCCACATCTTATTGGATTGGACTGAATGATCGTGTTAATGAGACAGGATATGTTTGGAGTGATGGATCAGGGGTAGATTATACAGCCTGGGCTCCTAATGAACCTAATAATTTTAATAATGAAGACTGTGGACAGATTGTTGGCTATACAACACAGAAAGGACTTTGGAATGACAATAACTGTTTTTTGTCTCTCAACTATATCTGTAAGGTACAGAGAGGTAAGATTGTGTCCTTATCAGCTGTATATGAAAGGTGCATATAGAATAATGACATTTTTTGTTTTAGATACTGACTATCCAGCAGGCCTGTTTAGGTCAGTATGAAAAAATAAGATGTCATTATATTCTTTTTATCAGCAATTTGTCTAAACAATATATATTTCTTTTGGTAGAATATGAAATTACATGGAGTTGTTAAAAAAATTCTTTTACGTGTACAAAAATGCTCTGATATGAATGACTTAGCTCCATTTCATTGATAAATTGACATGGATAGACATGGGAACATAACATAACTGCATTGTATATGACATCCTTATATATTTAGGCATAGGCAGTAGAAACAGCCGAAAAATGTACAAACAGCAAGATACAGAGAGATATGATTGTGTCTTTAACATTTTATTTTATAAGTTCAAAAAAGAGAAATATATTAGATTTTCTTATGAACAAAAAAAAATTAAATAATATTATTTAAATAAGTATTGAGGGGCCTGATGGGTTATTTTCATTCTTCGTTATCGGCGCATTTTCGCTATCGTGATCCGTTTTTCTACAGATTTATTTTTTTTTTATATTTTCGTGATCCGTGATCATGGAAATTTATTTTCTGTGAATCGTGATTGACAAAAAAATCAACTCGTGAATCGTGATGAGACCCCCTCATCAGGCCCCTCAGTATTAGATTATTGGACATTGTTAGTGATGCAATATATCATTTTGAACAGTGTCAAATGATTAATGTTATGATCACAACTAAGTGAAGTGCATTAAGGCATTACATCACCTCTAATTTATAATTTCAATGTAATTTTATTACTTTTCAGGAACTACACTTCTAACTACAGCTGCTCCAGTGACTGGTGTAACATGTAAGTTGTTGATTATAGATTAACCATAATGTCACTACAGTATCATCATTTAAATCATTTATGCAATGGTGATGGCAACATATTGATGACTTAAATTATGATTATAAAAATAAGAAGATTTGGTTTGATTTCCAATGAGACAACTGTCCACCAGAGACAAATTGTAGTATGAACATAGTCCAGAATATGGATTTCAGTGATTAGTATATGAAACCACATTTATTTTAAGAAAAAAGACGTAAACAAATAAGAGAAAAACTTTTAAGAGATAATTCATGCAAGCCATAGATTTGTTGGAAATTTTCACATGGCCTGGGTCTTTATATTAGAATTTTATCTCGAGCGATAGTGGTCCAGGCCATGTGAAAATATTAACAAATCTTTGACTTGCATGAATTATTTCGATTCTAATAGGACAAATACAATAATTGAAAAACTGAAGCGAAGGTAAGATTGCCGTGTGTATGGCTGTTCTATTTTACCCCCTGTAAGATAAAAGCTACAAATTTCAAACAAATCTATGGCTTGCATCAATTATTTCCTAAATTACCACTAAAAAAAATGTGTTCAATCCTTTTAATTCTTAATCTAAACATTTTTTTTTTGTTGGCTACTATTTACTGTCAAATCCACAGTTAACACGTCCTAACTAAGGAGTGAGCCGCCATGTTGATGCAAAATCCATGAATGTGCGAAAGATGCAATAGAATAGAAAATGAAACAACGCCTACCTCAAAACTCAATTTTAATGTGATATTACTGTAAATTCAGAAATTATTGGGTGCATTTATTATTGCAATTTTTGAAAAATTTACAAAAATGCGAGTTTAACTATTGCAAATTTTGGAAAAGCTACATACAGATGTATGTATTTGATATCAGAATGCGAGTTTTTAGCTCACCTGGCCCGAAGGGCCAAGTGAGCTTTTCTCATCACTTGGCGTCCGGCGTCGTCCGGCGTCGGCGTTAACTTTTTACATTTTGAACTTCTTCTAGAGAACCACTGAATGGAATGAAACCAAACATGGCATGAATGTTCCTTATGAGGTGCTGACCAAGTGTTGTTACTTTGTAGCCGATCCATCATCCAAGATGGCCGCAAGCAGGGGACTTAGTTTAACATAGGACCCTATGGGAAATGCATACAAATGACTTCTTTTAGAGAACCACTGAATGGAATGAAACCAAACATGGCATGAATATTCCTTATGAGATGCTGACTATGTGTTGTTACTTTGTAGCCGATCCATCATCCAAGATGGCCTCCATCGGGGAACATAGTTTAATATAGGACCCTATGGGAAATACATACAAATGTCTTCTTTTAGAGAACCACTGAATGGAATTAAACCAAACATGGCATGAATGTTCCTTATGTGGTGCTGACCAAGTGTTGTTACTTTGTAGCCGATCCATCATCCAAGATGGCCGCCAGCGGGGGACTTAGTTTAACATAGGACCCTATGGGAAATACATAAAAATGTCTTCTTTTAGAGAACCACTGAATGGAATGGAACCAAACATGGCATGAATGTTCCTTATGAGATGCTGACCAAGTGTTGTTACTTTGCAGTCGGTCCATCATCCAAGATGGCCACCAGCGGGGGACTTAGTTTAACATAGGACCCTATGGGAAATACATACAAATGTCTTCTTTTAGAGAACCACTGAATGGAATGGAACCAAACATGGTATGAATGTTCCTTATGAGGCGTTGATCAAGTGTTGTTACTTTGCAGTCAATCCATCATCCAAGATGGCCGCCAGCGGGGGACTTAGTTTAACATAGGACCCTATGGGAAATACATACAAATGTCTTCTTTTAGAGAACCACTGAATGGAATGAAACCAAACATGGCATGAATGTTCCTTATGAGGTGCTGACCAAGTGTTGTTACTTTGCAGTCGGTCCATCATCCAAGATGGCCGACAGTGGGGGACTTAGTTTAACATAGGACCTATGGGAAATACATACAAATGTCTTCTTTTAGAGAACCACTGAATGGAATGAAACCAATCATGGCATGAATGTTCCTTATGAGATGCTGACCAAGTGTAATTACTTTGTAGCCGATCCATCATCCAAGATGGCCACCAGCGGGGGACTTAGTTTAACATAGGACCCTATGAGAAATACATACAAATGTCTTCTTTTAGAGAACCACTGAATGGAATTAAACCAAACATGGTATGAATGTTCCTTATGAAGTGCTGACTAAGTGTTGTTACTTTGCAGTCGGTCCATCATCCAAGATGGCCGACAGCGGGGGACTTAGTTTAACATAGGACCTATGGGAAATACATAAAAATGTCTTCTTTTAGAGAACCACTGAATGGAATGAAACCAAACATGGCATGAATGTTCCTTATGAGATGCTGACCAAGTGTTGTTACTTTGTAGCCGATCCATCATCCAAGATGGCCGCTAGGGGGAGGGGGCTTAGTTTAACATAGGACCCTATGGGAAATACATACAAATGTCTTCTTTTAGAGTACCACTGAATGGAATGAAACCAAACATGGCATGAATGTTCCTTATGAAGTGCTGACGAAGTGTTGCTACTTTGTTGCCGATTTACTGTTCAAGATGGCCACCAGGATATTTTATTAAATAACGGGACCAATATTAATCCAAATTTGGCCTCAATCATTATTTGGGTATCTGTTATGATTTTTATCTATCTTTACATGATTTCTAAAACCAAAGTAGAGTCAGGTGAGCAACACAGGCTCTTGAGAACCTCTAGTTATTAATGCGATACTCAAGTAGTCGCGTTATTCGCATTTATAAAAACCTTGCAATAATTTCTGAATTTACACTATCCGAATTTAGAGCGTACACGTAACACAATAATCTTCAGCTTGAGATTTTTCATTCGTATGACATCATGTATTGACATGACGTTAATGCGCCAAGATCATTCATGAAATTTCCCTGAATTTTATTTTATTTTGATTTTATAAATTTTTTAAGATCTTATGCATTAATCCTTTTTGTTGTACATTAGAATAGGAATAACGGTTTTGTAGTTTCTTTTTCAATTTCAATTTGAACACAACAAAATCCACATAGTGTTTACACATAGGTTACGATACATATGGATTTACGTGGGAGGTAAATAGTAACAGCCATTAATATGCACATCTCTGAGTCTCTGCTAAGTATAGATATATCGAGAATTTTATCACACTGTTGTTTACAGAGCGAAAGAAACACGTCATAGTAGAATTATTTTTTTGGTTCAAGTTGTGTTAGCAATATTGTAAATAATAATTAATGTGAAAGCTCTAAACTGTTTCCATTGTAGCTGCCCAGTGTGGCGCAGGTTCCTGGGAGTTGTTCAATGGAGCATGCTATATGACCAATCCCCCAAGTGGTACTAACTCATCACTATCATGGTACCAAGCCCAACAGTTTTGTTTCGCTAATAAAGCAAATTTGGCCAGTATTCATGCTCGGGATGAAAACAATCTTATAGTAGGCATGGTAAGTTAAATATAAAGCTTTTTTTTATAGCTTGAAGTAGTTGTCACCTTTTAACAGTCGGAAGTACTGAAAATCCAATATCAAAAGCCTCAACCTGTTAATCTGAGCTCATATATGCCCTCAAATTTAGAATTCATTCAAACATTTTTGTATTAGTCCTTCACTTTTCATTTGATACCTAAATTACCAAAATATGTTCTACATAGTTTGATATTTATACCTATGCGTAGGAACAATTTTCTTTTAAAATGTACTACTTTCCAGTTTGTTCTTTTTGATCGGGCCCGATTTGGTGGTGTCACATCGTACAGAGTCATTCCGAAATCGTGAGCTGAGAGTTGTTTTGCTCCATGTTGAAGGCCTCACTGTGACTTTGAGATGAAGAACAGCAATAAAAGTTCTGTTTCTTTGCTTTTTGTGTGTTTTTTTGCTGTCCATGTACTGATTTTGTGTCATGGATGGATACCCCATTAGGGTGACGTCCATTTTCACTGAACTAGTACACAATTTTATTTAGGCGCCAGCTGAGGACCACCTCCAGGTGCGGGATTTTCTCGCTGCGTTGAAGACCCATTGGTGGCCTTCGGCTAATGTGTGCTCTTTGGTCGGGTTGTTGTCTCTTTGACATATTCCCCATTTCCGTTCTCAATTTTATTAATATTTTCCTCAAATTACATACTTTTCTTGATGAGAACTGAAGTGGCCACATGAAAGCAACAGTATATTTTTATTCAATTATTCTTTGTTATAATAAATTGTTTTATTTTAAGGTGTTAGATTTTGAAAGATGTTGCTGATCTGAGAGGACTGGTTTAAGTTTTTAGGTAATTAGCAAATTTTAACGTTGACATGCACTTCATTAATAGAATTTTTTTCTTGTTTTTAGATTTCTAAGTTGAATCAAAATGAATTTTGGATTGGTCTTAATGAACTTGAAAAGCCTGGAAAATATAAGTAAGTAAATTTCAACTAGATTATTAAATGAAAATATTGTATTTTGACTTGTATAAATCACAAAACTCATTAAGAATGTGTCTTGCACATACAATTTTATTAATCCAGATAAGACTTGCAAATGAATCTAGAATAGAGAATGGATACAGAGAATGTGTCCAAGAGACAACAACCCGACCAAAGAGCAAAAAACAGACGCCAATGAACGCAATTCAACGCAGCGATAAAATCCTGTACCCTGAAGCGAGCTGGCCCTAAACAATAATGTATACTAGTTCAGCGAAAACATAAAGAAAGCTACATAAAGACTACAGAAATAGGTTTTCCCCCTTTAAAACCAGCCTGATTTATTATTTATAACATGTTTATATCATTTGAAAATAAGAAGAAAAAAAGAAACAGATCCATTGTAAACAACCTTATATAAAATTTTTTGTGGGTAAATTTTACTTTTTTGAAACACTGAAAATGTTGAAATGAGAATCCTACAGTTTACAAAAGAAAATATATTATTTGAGAATCTATTTATAGGTGGAGTGATGGCTCTATACTTGATTTTGATAGCTGGAGTGGAAACGAACCCAATGATGCATTTGGAGGTGAAAGGTGTGCAGGAATGCTTTCCTATAATGGTTAGTATATGCTAAGGAAGATAGATATGTACTGAAATTTTTTTATCAGTTTTTTTTCTAGATTTGATTGATAAAGGACATAGTTTCTAAATTTTTAATTCTGCTAATAGAGAAATCATTCAATATTTCACTTTTTTTTAAAAATTGAATAACAAAAAGATAATATATTTATGCCCCCGCCGTAGCGGAGGGGGCATTAAGTTTTACCCTTGTCCGTCTGTACGTACATCCCAAAATTGGTTTCCGTTCTCTAACTTGAGTTTGCCTCAACCAAATGTTATGAAACTTATACACAATTCTTATTACCACAAAACACAGATCAAATTTGAAGTTTGGTAGTGTCACTTTAACTGTTCTAGAGTTATGCCCCTTTATAAATGGAAAAAATGCTAAATTTTTAGTTTCCGTTCTCTAATTTAAGTTTGCCTCAACCAAATGTTATGAAACTTATACACAATGCTTATTACCACCAAATACAGATCAAGTTTGAATTTTGGTAGCATCACTCTAACCGGTCTAGAGTTATGCCCCTTTATATATGGAAAAATTACAAAATGTTTAGTTTCCGTTCTCTAACTTAAGTTTGCCTCAACCAAATGTTATGAAACTTATACACAATACTTATTACCACATAACACAGATCTAGATTGAATTTTGGTAGCATTACTCTAACTGTTCTAGAGTTATGCCCCTTTATAAATGGAAAAATTGAAAACTTTTTAGTTTCCATTTTCTAACTTAAGTTTGCCTCAACCAAATGTTATGAAACTTATACACAATGCTTATTACCACCAAATACAGATCAAGTTTGAATTTTGGTAGCATCACTCTAAATATTCTAGAGTTATGCTCCTTTATAAATTGAAAAATTACAAAATTTTTAGTTTCTGTTCTCTAACTTAAGTTTGCCTCAACCAAATGTTATGAAAATTATACACAATGCTAATTACCACAAAATACAGATCAAGATTGAATTTTGGTAGCGTCACTCTAACCGTTCTAGAGTTATGCCCCTTCATGAATGGAAAAATTGCAAAATTTTTAGTTTCCGTTCCCTTACTTAAGTTTACCTCAACCAAATTTTATGAAACATATACATTATGCTTATTACCACAAAATAAAGATCAAGTTTGAATTTTGGTGGGGTCACTTTAACCATTTTCGAGTTATGCCCCTTTATTAATGGAAAAAAATGCAAAATTTTTAGTTTCCATTCTCTAACTTAAGTTGCCTCAACCAAATGTTATGAAACTTATACACAATGCTTTTTCCCACAAAACGCAGATCAAGTTGAATTTTGGTAATGTCACTTTAATCATTATCGAGTTATGCCCCTTTATAAATCGAAAAATTGCCAAATTTTTAGTTTCCGTTCTGTAACTTAAGTTTGCCCCAACCAAACATTATGAAACCTATACATAATACTTATTACCTTAAAACTCAGATCAAGTACAAATTTGGGTAGCGTCACTTTTATTCTTGAGTTATGTCCATTTATAATGTTGTATGCAAACGGGGACATCATCTGTGTCCATGGGGACACATTCACCATTTATTTATTTTTTGTCTCAATCATAGCTAATGCCCCCCACAAACAGGAAGCAAAGAAATGAATCACAAAAATTAGTACATTTGTTTAATTCATATTGTATATATTCATATTTTTTTTTGCATACATCTTTCTTAAGGTTTGTTAAAAAATTCAAACAGCTTTTAATAGTGAGAAATGATAAGGGTAAAGTGAATTAGCAGATTATGCAGTTTTAAAATGGTTTTAATAGGGAACTGGAATGATGACAATTGCAACCAACAAATAGGATTTGTCTGCAAAAAATTAGTAGGTTCTGTTGGACCTGTTACTCCTGCACCACCACAGTTAATCTCTGGAGGTTGTTCTGTCAGTGGATTTGTCCCAGAACCATATGGTAAGTTGTACTACTGTATCATAGTTCTGTATTGTAAGATTATATGGTATGTTGTGACTTCACAGTTCTGTATTGTAAGATTTTATGGTATATTGTGATTTCATAGCTCTGTATTGTAAGATTTTATGGTATGGTGTGACTTCATAGTTCTGTATGTTTTGTATTTTAAGATTTTATGGTATGGTGTGACTTCATAGTTCTGTATTGTAAGATTATATGGTATGGTGTGACTTCATAGTTCTATATTGTAAGATTTTATGGTATGTTGTGACTTCATAGTTCTGTATTGTAAGATTATATGTATGTTGTGACTTCATAGTTCTGTATTGTAAGATTATATGGTATGTTGTGACTTCATAGTTCTGTATTGTAAGATTTTATGGTATATTGTGACTTCATAGTTCTGTATTGTAAGATTTTATGGTATGGTGTGACTTCATAGTTCTCTACTGTAAGATTTTATGGTATGGTGTGATTTTATAGTTCTGTATTGTAAGATTATATGCTATGGTGTGACTTCATAGTTCTCTATTGTAAGGTTTTATTGTCTCGCCTTGACGGAGTCAAAAAAGCGAGACATAGGTATGCTGTTTCTGGCGGCGGCATCAACAATGTATTAGTTTGTGATTAGGTCTAGTTTATGTTGAACCACTAGTGGTAGGTCAATGATATTTGGTATGCAGTTGTATTAGCATTGGCACATCTCATTAACATGGAAATTATTTGGTCCCGCCCCCTCAGTCATGCTCTAATGACTTTGAAACTTTTGCTTAGTTTTCATGTATTATTTTGTGACTAGGTCAGTTTAAGATTAACGATTAATGTTAAGTCAATGATATTTGGTATGCAAATGTATTGGCATTGGCAAGTTTCATTTCCATGGAGATTATATAACCCCACCCTCTCATTATGGGTCATTGACTTTGAAACTTTTACATAGTTTACAAGTTAATGTTTGTGTTTAGGTTTGTTTAAAGGGAACGACTTATGAAAAGTCAATGGTATTTGGTATGCAGTTGTATTAGCATTGGCACATCTCATTTCCATGGAGATTGTTTAGCCCTGTACCTTTAGTAATAGTTCATTGATTTTGAATATTTGCATAACTAAAATGTTAAAATATTGCTATTTTAATTTCAACATATGCATTATCAAAATAACAAATAGGGGAGACATATCTCTGTGTTAACAGTTTATGGTATGTAGTGACTTCATAGTTCTGAATTGTAAGATTATATGGTGTGTTGTGACTTTTTAGTTCTGTATTGTAAGATTATATGGTATGGTGTGACTTCATAGTTCTGTATTGTAAGATTTTGTGCTATGTTGTGACTTCATAGTTCTGTATTGTAAGATTTTGTGGTATGGTGTGACTTCATAGTTCTGTATTGTAAGATTATATGGTATGGTGTGACTTCATAGTTCTGTATTGTAAGGTTTTATGGTATGTTGTGACTTCATAGTTCTGTATTGTAAGATTTTATGGTATATTGTGACTTCATAGTTCTGTATTGTAAGATTATACGGTATGTTGTGGCTTCATAGTTCTGTATTGTAAGATTATATGTATGGTGTGACTTCATAGTTCTATATTGTAAGTTTAGATGGTATGTTGTGACTTCATAGTTCTGTATTGTAAAATTTTATGGTATGGTGTGACTTCATAGTTCTGTATTGTAAGATTATATGGTATGGTGTGACTTCATAGTTCTGTATTGTAAAATTTTATGGTATGGTGTGACTTCATAGTTCTGTATTGTAAGGTTATATGGTATGGTGTGACTTCATAGTTTTGTATTGTAAAATTATATGGTGTGTTGTGACTTTTTAGTTCTGTATTGTAAGATTATATGGTATGGTGTGACTTCATAGTTCTATATTGCAAGTTTATATGGTATGTTGTGACTTCATTGTACTGTATAGTAAGTTAATATTGTATGGTGTGACTTCATAGTTCTATTTTGCAAATTTATATGGTATGTTGTGACTTCATTGTACTGTATAGTACAAAGTAAGTTAATATGGTATGGTGTGACTTCATAGTTCGGTATTGCAAGTTTATATGGTATGTTGTGACTTCATTGTACTGTATAGTAAGATTATATGGTATGGTGTGACTTCATAGCTCTATATTGCAAGTTTATATGGTATGTTGTGACTTCATGGTACTGTATAGTAAGTTAATATGGTATGGTGTGACTTCATAGTTCTATATTGCAAGTTTATATGGTATGTTGTGACTTCATTGTACTGTATAGTAAGTTAATATGGTATGCTTTGACTTCATAGTTTGGTATTGCAAGTTTTTATGGTATGTTGTGACTTCATTGTACTGTATAGTAAGTTTAGATGGTATGGTGTGACTTCATATTTCGGTACAGTAAGTTAATATGGTATGTTGTGCATACCTGCCAACCCCTGAAACCTTCAAAGAGGGAGATCTTCCTCTCAGCTATGTCAGCTGAGGCGGAGATTTTGCACAAACAACATTTTTAAGTTAAATATATGACCTGTTTACGTATTCATCTACAAAACACCAATAAGAGTTAACAAATATACTTTATTTCTTCAATACATGGTTATAATCTATACAAGGTGTTTTTTGTTTTGCCTTTTTAGCTCACCTGGCCCAAGTGAGCTTTTCTCATCACTTGGCGTCCGTCGTCCGTCGTCGTTGTCGTCGTTAGCTTTTTACAAAAATCTTCTCCTCTGAAACCACTAGGCCAAATTTAACCAAACTTGGCCACAATCATCATTAGGGTATCTAGTTTAAAAAATGTGTCCGATGACCCCGCCAACCAACCAAGATGGCTGTTATGGCTTAAAATAGAACATAGGGATAAAATGTAGATTTTGGCTTATATCTCTGAAACCAAAGCATTTAGAGTAAATCTGACAAGGTAAAACTGATTATCAGGTCATGATCTATCTGCCCTGAAATTTTCAGACAAATCTGACAACCTGTTGTTGGGTTGCTGCGCCTGAATTGGTAATTTTAAGGAAATTTTGCAGTTTTTGGTTATTATCTTGAATATTATTATAGATAGAGATAAACTGTAAACAGCAATAATGTTCAGCAAAGTAAGATCTACAAATAAGTCATCATGACCAAAATTGTCAGTCGACCCCTTTAGGAGTTATTGCCCTTAATAGTCAATTTTTTGTAAATTTTTGTAATCTTTTACAAAAATCTTCTTCTCTGAAACTACTGAGACAAATTTAACCATACTTGGCCATAATCATTATTAGGGTATCTAGTTTAAAAAATTTGTCCGATGACCCCGCCTTCCAACCATCATGGCCGACTTGGTTAAAAATAGAACATAGGGGTAAAATGCAGTTTTTGGTTTATATCTCTGAAACTAAAGCATTTAGAGCAAATCTGACAGGTGGCAAAAATGTTCATCAGATTTAGATTTATCTGCCCTGAAATTTTCAGACGAATCCAACAACCCGTTGTTGGGTTGCTGCCCCTGAGTTAGTAATTTTACAAAAATTTTGCAGTTTTTTGTTATTATCTTAGATATCATTATAATATCTAATATCTAATACTATTAATTATGATTTTAATCTTATTTTACATGATTTCCAAAGCATCAGTAAATACAGGTGAGCGACACAGGCTCTTGAGAGCCTCTAGTTCAATACCTCAGAGTCTCATTACTCATAACATTCCATATTTTGATTTTGTTGTGTGTCTCACACTAAGCATGCTTACAAACATCGTACAGACCACCAGAAGAAATTGAAAAGTTGATTGAACATGATGTTCAAAAAGATTCATTGCCAAGTGAACTTGTTTGTAAAAATTGAAAATCTTTCATTCAAGTCTGCTTGACATTTCGATTTGCAGTTATCTATTTCTTCTTTTTTACACTGCCGCTTGGTCTAGACAAAGAGCTCTATCTATTTTGGAGTTGACATAGCAGAACTGAATTTCGATTACTTATACATGTATATCGAACATAAAAACTACTGACCAAAGTTTTCAAATGATCACCAATTGTTTATTTATTTCTATTGAAAGTAATGAAAAAGCCAGAGAATTATGAACGCGGGTTATTCCAGGTCAAAATATCCAAAAACGGGAGATTCTATACTCCGGTGCGGGAGATTTCCGGAATTTTGTCGTTTGCGTGGGAGACTCCTGCTCAAAACGGGAGGGTTGGCAGGTATGGTTTGGTATTGCAAGTTTATATGGTATGTTGTGACTTCATTGTTCTGTATTGTAAGTTAATATGGTATGTTGTGACTTCATAGTACTGTATTGAGAGTTTATATAGTATGTTACGATTTCAATGTTCTGTATCCTAGTTTTTATAAAGTTTCATACTATTACTGTTTTGCAAGTTAATTTACACCGAGATGCCGTTTGATGAAATAAAATAGATATGCTGCATTTACCATGAAGTAAGGTTAAATTGCTGAAAGACCCCCCTCCTTAGTTATTGAAAGCTATTATAAAGCATTTACCCTAATATCATGGTGTAAATTATATACACCTAAACATGAGAATGCTTATTAGGGTGTATATAATACAAAGAATGTTGTGAATTTATTTGGTGTAAATCTGTATAGTGCAGACCTGCTAAATATCCTGATTTATGGGGGATATCCCCCATGAGTGATGTTGACCTGAATTTTGAAATTCTTTATTTTATAAACTGAACACCTCAAAACAAGCATTTAAATGAGTTAAAAGGGTATATAAATCATTCAGACATTATAGTAGTAGATTTAAAACACTTATGACAAAAAAAGAGGATCATAAGTTCCTCATGCGCTTAAAATCCCCCATGGAGATTTTGAAAAGTTGGCAGGTTTGATAGTGTGGTTGTGAGCCAAAATTTGTTCCCGTGAAAAAAGTTCCAGTGGAATAAATATCACAGGAAATATATTCTTGGAGAACTTTTTTCACAGATGATTTCTATATAATTTGTTCCATCTCTATAAAATATGTTCCACAATTTTCCTGGTGAAATAAGTTCTGGGTTAGTGAGATTTTTTCATTAACTGATGAAATAAGTTCCTAGTTTGTGAAATATGTTCCACTGGTTATACAAGTTATCTTTAATACTGAGCATTGTCATCAGTGAGTACAAAGTTATCATTCAAGTACATTATAAAAACATGTATTATTATACCCCATGCAACGAGTTGCGGAGGGTATAATGTTTTTGACCTGTCCGTCCGTCTGTCTGTCCCTCCGTCTGTCCGTCTGTCAGTCCGTCAGTCCTATTTCTTGTCATCGCAACTCCTCTCAAACCACACAACAGAATTTCACGAAACCTTTTTAGATAATAAGGACATACTATGTAGTTGTGCATATCGACAGGAAATTACGATTCAATTTTTTTTCTAGGAGTTACGCCCCTTTGAACTTATTTACTTTAATGTACTACTGCAACAGTTTGTCATCGCAACTCCTCTCAAACCACACAACAGAATTTCATGAAACCTTTCCAGATAATAAGGACATACTACGTAGATGTGCATATCGACAGGAAATTACGATTCAATTTTTTTCCCAGGAGTTACGCCCCTTTGAACTTATTTGCCCAATATACTACTGCAACCTTTTGTCATTGCAACTCCTCTCAAACCACACAACAGAATTTCATGAAACTGTGTAGATAATAAGGACATACTATGTAGATGTGCATATTGACAGGAAATTATGATTCAATTTTTTTTTCTTACACTTATTTTATTTCTCCAATGACAATGTGGGGACGTGGGGTATACTCAGGTTCTTTCATATTGATAATGTAATAAATAAAAAGTGTCAACATCCAATATGGATCCTGTGGAGTATAGCAATATTTGTAATTATATTGAATTTCTTGATTTAAAATACCCAAATGATACTAATGAGGCTGAAAAGAGAAGAATAAGAAAAATCACTCAGAAATATATTTACATACCGGTATGTATTTTTTGCAATTACAATTTCAAAGTATTTTTTTAAGCAATTTTAAATATAAGGTTCTTTTTCTACATGTTAACATTAAAATTATATAATATGTTTATGAATTTTGATTTTTTTTTTTAAGAGAATATGTTTATAAAACTTTGTAAATGGAAAACATAATAAAGGGAGATAACTGTTTGTTTACTTCTGTCTATTAAGGGAACATTTTAATTAGGATAATAGAACATTTTAAATATCTTTTAAACTAATTGATCTAGAGAATTTCATTTTTAGACAGAAAGTAAATTTCATGTAATAATTCACTCAAATATGTTCACTTTTGGTACAAAAAATGTATGTTCTGGAACTTATTTCACATTTGGTCAAAAAATTAGTTCTGGAACAAATTTTATAGTGCTGGAACATATTTCCTTATATATTCCGGGTATAAATTTTCTGTGATATAAATTCCAATGGAACATATTTCCTATGAAATAAATTCCAGTGGAACATATTTTCTATGAAATAAGTTCCACAGGAACAAGTTTTTTGTTGCATAGTGTGTTGTGACTTCAAAGTAATGTAAATAAAATTTATGTGACAAGTTGTAAATTGATGTGGTAAGTTGTAAATTCATTGTACTGGATTGTAAATTCATGTTGTAAGTTGTAAAATCATTGTACTGGATTGTAAATTCATTCGGTAAGTTGTGTGTAAATTCATTGTACTGGATTATTAATTCATTTGGTAAGTTGTAAATTCATTGTACTGGATTGTAAATTCATTTGGTAAGATGAAATTCATTGTATTGGATTGTAAATTCATGTGGTAAGTTGTAAACTCATTGTACTGGATTGTTAATTCATGTGGTAAGTTGTAAATTCATTGTACTGGATTGTAAATTCATTTGGTAAGCAGTAATTTCATTGTAGTGGATTGTAAATTCATGTGGAACTTCATTGTAATAAATTGTAAATTCATGTGGTAAGATGTAACTTTTTACATCTGTACTGTATCTTAAAGGGGCATTAGCTGTCAAATTCATGTTCACTGATTTGACTTAAATTCTCATATTTGATTTATAACATACTAAAATGTATATCCAAATTACAATAGGCCTAAAATAAATATTTTAAAATGCATGGGCTCGATAATATGTATCAGCATTTTGTGTGTATTTTAGTTTAGATGCCATCTAATTAACCATCGAGGTGACCTCCGAAGACTGCTGACGGTCATATATCCTGATATAAACATAAATATAGATATAAATAGATAGCAAACTCGTGCAATTGGACTTTTCTAGGTCTGTTTGATTTCATATTATAGGTTAAAAATATATGTTAATCATCGTTTTTACCTGTATAAGAATGAGTTTTTGTGGATTGAATCAGTCAATCAAATGGTTTACCCTTGTTTCATTTTTAATGTTGACATTCTTTTCCTTTTAATAACTGAACATGCCTAATTCATGCGTAACCCATCTCTAGCTAAGGGGTTAAATTGAAGGTCACATGAATACGGATTCAATGAGTTTGAATTATTCACTTGCAATATTCCTCAGAGCTAATGCCCCTTTAAGTTAATGTTAATGGTAAAATTTCACAGTATGTTGGTAAAAATGGCTTGTGATGCTGTGGACTACATCTTAAGTTAAAAATACATTTCAACTACATTTTAAGTTAATATATGCTTTTTGCTCACATAACAAGTTTTTTTTTCAACAGGTAACAAATGTTTTTATGCCAATAACAACACAACTCCAACAGATTGGAATTCATCTGTGCAGTTTTGTAGAAAGTTTGGTGCTGGATATGATATTGCTGCTGTCAGCAATGAAATTGAACAAGGTAGAATTTCATGAGAACTGTAACATTAAGAATGATTAGAGGTCTATAAAACTTACCTAAAATAAACACACTGATAAAGAAAGATGGCCTCATATGTTTTATCGCAGGCTTAATATCTATGGTTGTTTTCATTGTACCAAAATATGCTGAATGAGTTGGAGATGAAATGCTGTAAAGTTTATATGACTCTTTCTAGATACGAGTATAATACATCTTTGTTCAAATCAAATTAAGTTTTATATTTGAGTTGAAAAAAACGGGAACTAACTGACTTACAATTTGGCCCTTAGACTTTCATGAAAGTTAAAAAATTTCCATCATTTGACATTTAGTTTGCAATTTATCTTATGATGCTTCTGCTTCACAATAGAAATAATTGGGTTTTTTTCACAATAGAAATAATTGTCCATTATCTGTTACTTTATACCCTTTCAGCATACCAGTTTACAGTTTACCATGTTGTACCCCTTCCAGCTTTCCTTACTTCATTGATACAAGAGTTTACCACTTTTTACCCCTTTCAGCATTCCTTACTTCATTGATACAAAGGTTTACCACTTTTTGCCCCTTCCAGCTTTCCTTACTTCATTGATACAAAGGTTTACCACTTTTTGTCGAGCCTGCGACTTTTGTCGCAGAAAGCTCGACATAGGGATAGTGATCCGGCGGCGGCGGCGTTAGCTAACTTCTTAAAAGCTTTATATTTTAGAAGGTGGAAGGTCTGGATGCTTCATACTTTGTATATGGATGCCTCATGTTACGAAGTTTCCGTCAGTCACATGTCCAATGTCCTTGACCTCATTTTCATGGTTCAGTGACTACTTGAAAAAAAAGTTAAGATTTTTTGTAATGTTAGATTCTCTCTTATTATAAGTAATAGGATAACTATATTTGGTATGTGCGTACCTTGCAAGGTCCTCATGCCCGTTAGACAGTTTTCACTTGACCTCGACCTCATTTCATGGATCAGTGAACAAGGTTAAGTTTTGGTGGTCAAGTCCATATCTCAGATACTATAAGCAATAGGTCTAGTATATTCGGTGTATGGAAGGACTGTAAGGTGTACATGTCCAACTGACAGGTGTCATCTGACCTTGACCTCATTTTCATGGTTCAGTGGTTATAGTTAAGTTTTTGTGTTTTGGTCTGTTTTTCTTATACTGTATGCCATAGGTCTACTATATTTGGTGTATGGAATGATTGTAAGGTGTACATGTCTAGGGGGCAGGTGTCATCTGACCTTGACCTCATTTTCATGGTTCAGTGGTCAAAGTTAAGTTTTTGAGTTTTGGTCTTTTTTTCTAATACTATATGCAATAGTTCAACTATATTTGGTATGTGCGTACCTTGCAAGGTCCTCATGCCCGTCACACAGTTTTCACTTGACCTCGACCTCATTTCATGGATCAATGAACAAGGTTAAGTTTTGGTGGTCAAGTCCATATCTCAGATACTATAAGCAATAGGTCTAGTATATTCGGTGTATGGAAGGACTGTAAGGTGTACATGTCCAACTGGCAGGTGTCATCTGACCTTGACCTCATTTTCATGGTTCAGTGGTCAAAGTTAAGTTTTTGAGTTTTGGTCTTTTTTTCTAATACTTTATGCAATAGGTCATCTATATTTGGTGTATGGAAATATTTTATGATGTACCTGTCAGTCTTGCAGGTTTTATTTGACCTTGACCTCATTTTCACGGTTCATTGCTCAGTGTTAAGTTTTTGTGTTTTGGTCTGTTTTTCTAATACTATAAGCAATAGGTCAACTATATTTGTTGTATGGAAGGATTGCAAGCTGTAGTACATGTCTGCCTGGCATTGTTCATCTGACCTTGACCTCATTTTCTTGGTTCATTGGTCAATGTTTAGTTTTCTTGGTTAAGTCTGTATCTTAGAAACTATAAACAATAGGTCAACTATATTTAGTGTATTGAATGATTGTAAGGTGTACATGTATTTCTTGTTTGGTTTATATGACCTTGACCTCATTTTCTTGGATCATGTTAAGTGTATGTGATAGTTGTAGTAAAGCTTTAAATTTAGGACTATCAACATTATATCAATGATTAGTAAAGAAGGCGAGACATTTCAGCGTGTGCACTCTTGTTACCCCTTCCAGCATTCCTTGCTTCGTTGATACAAGAGTTTACCATGTTTTACCCCTTCCAGCATTCCTTAATTCATTGATACAAGGGTTTACCACTTTTTACCCCTTTTAGCTTTCCTTACTTCATTGAAACAAGAGTTTACCATGTTTTACCCCATTCAGCTTTCCTTACTTCATTGATACAAGAGTTTACCACTTTTTATCCTATTCAGCTTTCCTTACTTCATTAATACAAGAGTTTACCACTTTTAACCCCTTTCAGCATTCCTTACTTCATTGATACAAGGGTTAACCACTTTTTACCCCTTTTAGATTTCCTTACTTCATTGAAACAAGAGTTTACCATGTTTTACCCCATTCAGCTTTCCTTACTTCATTGATACATGAGTTCACCACTTTTTACCCTATTCAGCTTTCCTTACTTCATTGATACAAGGGTTTACCACTTTTTACCCCTTTCAGCATTCATTACTTCATTGATACAAGGGTAAACCACTTTTTACCCCTTTCAGCATTCCTTACTTCATTGATACAAGGGTTAACCACTTTTTTCCCCTTTCAGCTTTTTTTACTTCATTGATACAAGGGTTAACCACTTTTTACCCCTTTCAGCATTCCTTACTTCATTGATACAAGAGTTTACCACTTTTTACCCTTTTCAGCGTTCCTTACTTCATTGATACAAGAGTTAACCACTTTTTACCCCTTCCAGCATTGCTTACTTCATTTATACAAGAGTTAACCATGTTTTTCCCCTTTCAGCATTCCTTACTTCATTGATACAAAGGTTTACCACTTTTTACGCCTTCCAGCTTTCCTTACTTCATTGATACAAAGGTTTACCACTTTTTACCCCTTCCAGCTTTCCTTACTTCGTTGATACAAGAGTTTACCATGTTGTACCCCTTCCAGCATTCCTTAATTCATTGATACAAGAGTTTACCATGTTGTACCCCTTCCAGCTTTCCTTAATTCATTGATACAAGAGTTTAACATGTTGTACCCCTTCCAGCATTCCTTACTTCATTGATACAAGAGTTAACCACTTTTTACCCCTTTCAGCATTCCTTACTTCATTGATACAAGAGTTTACCATGTTGTACCTCTTCCAGCATTCCTTAATTCATTGATACAAGAGTTTACCATGTTGTACCCCTTCCAGCTTTCCTTAATTCATTGATACAAGAGTTTAACATGTTGTTCCCCTTCCAGCATTCCTTACTTCAGTGATACAAGAGTTAACCACTTTTTACCCCTTTCAGCATTCCTTACTTCATTGATACAAGAGTTCACCACTTTTTACCCCTTTCAGCATTCCTTACTTCATTGATACAAGAGTTTATCACTTTTTACCCTATTCAGCATTCCTTACTTCATTGATACGAAGGTTTACCACTTTTTACCCTTTTCAGCTTTTTTTACTTCATTGATACAAGGGTTAACCACTTTTTACACCTTTCAGCATTCCTTACTTCATTGATACAAGGGTTTACTACAAATCTGTGGATAGGACTTAACAACTTGAGACATAACAATAGATTCAATTGGCAAGATAACTCAGCATTCTTCTACTCAAACTGGAATGCAGGAGAACCTAATGGCAACTCACAAAGAGGACGCGGGATAACAGTAAGTAACGTAAACAAACACCATTCTTAGCTGGACATCTACTGATAAATGGTAAAGTTTGTGACATATAAACATGTGTTAAATAAATTTAAGTAGTATTAAGGCAATTCATAAAAAATGTCATTTCATGGAATGTTTATTTCAGTATTTATGTATTGATTTAAGTATTTTTCTTTTTAAGAAGTCATTCTGTTTTACAGTTCCTGTGAAAAGTGTTAGGAAAATATTTGTTTCCTTTCCAAATATTGAAAAATTCAAAATAAGTAGTTGTTTTACAGATCCGAAAAAGGGCACACACATTACAACTCATTTTTATTCAGTACATAAATCTGCCACAGATATGTACCACAAGAGTATGTAGAGCAAGATAACAATGAATATTGATTGATTAGAGTGTAGGTGCAGTACATTTCTGGTCATTGTAGGAGGATTGATATACATAGATTTAATAGTGAGCTAATTAACACAATTGGACAAAATAATTACGAGTTAACCATCTACAGCTATTGACCAGGGGAGTCCAAATCCTTTATCAAGTTTTAAATCTCCCTTTGATATCAAGAAGCAACCCTCAAAAACTCTGCAGAAACTCTTTCTTCTTAAAATTTTCAAATTTTCAAATTCTGAATTCCATATTTATATTCCTATTCTATTTAGAATTGTCAACTATGTGTTTGGAATTTGTCATAGTTAGTTAATCACAAAATGGGAACAAGAGACAAGCATGCTAACATAAACTACAGCAATGAATATTCATTAGCATTTATTATCTTTTATTGCAGGAAGACTGTGTAGAAATGTATGTAAATAGTGTTGTAGCTGGTTCTTGGAATGATCTTAAGTGTAACACGCCTCGTAATGTCTTATGTCAGGGGCCAAAAGGTAAATAAAATACACTTTTATTTTACGGTTTTAGATAATTTGTTGTTGATTGTGTTGAAAATCCAGGTTTTCAAGATGATAGAATACCACAACACTTAATTGATCAAAATTCAAATGGAGCATTTAGAATCATTAAATACATTTTTGCATGTACCATTCTAAAGTTATTGTTGTTGCTTGTTTGCAAATTTAAAAAGTGCATTCGCATTTCAGATAATAGATTTTAAAAATTGCTTAATGAAATGTATTTGAATTTTAATGGTGTGTATAGGCCTATTAACCACAGGCTAAGCTTGATTATCTGAAAATGGGGAATCTGTGAGTGTGAGGGAAAGTCTGTGATGAATGAAAAGGTAAACAAGTGGAAAGAAAATAGTATTAATCAATCTGAAAGAAAACAATTACTTCACCAAATCATTTAACAACTGTTATGACAAAGTTTAATTAACAAATGGGAATGCTTAGAAAACGTTAATAAAAACAGACATACATCGCTCTATCACCACACATATTTTTCATGTGCTCCACGATTCTGTGTTGATTGTTTAACAATGGGTAAAGATCAGTACCAAAACCCACAATTAATTAGACACCCAAGTTTTTCCAAATATTTTTTGTCGACTATATGTTATGGATTCATAATAAATGTAAATAAACATGAACATAGACTTATATATAGAATGGACATAGACTTATATATAGCATGAACATAGACTTTTATATAGCATGCATTGGTTAAAAAAAAATTTAACAATATATTTATTAAAAACTCATTTCATATGACTGAAACCAAAAATTTATTATATCAAGGTTATATTTATTAATTTTCTTTTTATTCAGTTGCTGGAACTCCAACCTTTTTAGATTTGATAGTAATATCCTTTACAAAGTACTAAATCATATCCTACTAAACTAATATTTTAACATTCTAGTAATGATTGAAAACCCTAGTGATTTTTTTCAGTTACTAATACATGTTGGGTCCATATCATATAAATGAATATCAATCTTCATTTTTGATGGAGGAAACAACTGTTGTTTTTTTTTTTTCACCAGCAGCTGAACTAGAGGTTGCACTTCTGTAAATATTGACAATACAATTTCTCATAGGAACTCTTTTTATGTCTACAACTATGCCATTTTATTTTTATGAAGTTTCGTAATATATATCCTGGAATTGAAAGTTCACATGCACTTCTATTTTTTCCAAAAGTCAAAACATAGGTCTGTACAGCATATTTTTAACATTTATATACCTCGAACATCTAAGAGTTTAAACTTAAATTAAACTTCTGTACTACCCCCCCCCTTGTTGTACTTGGAGTCTTCCTGTGCATTCAATTTAATTTGATTGCTGTCCTACTGTATTTATACTTGTATTCCAAAGTTGTGTCTCTATGATATGAAACATGGAGATCATATCTGTGTGGGAACCAAAAGGTACAGATTACAAAATATCTATTAATATCTCCTCAAAAGAGCAGTGGTTTGTGAAACTGCTGTATTTACAAAGTGCAACCTATATGGTTACTGTGAGCAAACTGCTGATTGTCTTAAGAAAATCTTCAATAGATTGCTCTGTAGACTTTAATTTATTCACTGATTTTGTCATTTATCTTTATTGTTTGTTTGGTCTCTGATATTGAGCGTTCTAAATAGTTAACCTCACCATGTTCAGTTATGCTTGTCAAAAACCAGGAATGATAGGTACCTTAATTTGTTATTGTTCTGGTGTCAGTTGTATTACACTATCTTATGTCCTAAAACTAATAATAAGAATATTGAAAGTGATATCAGGGTTGAAACGCACCTGGAATAACAGGGAAAAAGCCGGGAATTTGATTCGAGGTGCCTGGCTGGGGGGGAAAAAAAAATCCTGGGAAAATCCTTGTAAGTTAAAATACCGGAAGTTTAAAAACAAATAGAATTTCCTCCCTTGTGCTAATTGATTTGTCCCTCAAAAATCGGTACCCGTATGTTAACAGGTACTCGTGAGCGCATTTCGTAGGACGATAGGAATAGGGCGACTTGATAGAGGTGAATCCTGATCTCGATTACGCTTGATGCAAATGGTCTTGAAATGTTTTGCAATGTTATTTATCAAGCTCAATTTCAACCACAATGCAAGAACTGCTATCCTTGAAAACTACTGATAATCTGGAAAACCCTGCAAAAACCCTTGAATTTCATGTCTGAAAAAGAGTGGCAACTCTGTGATATGTTTATAGAAGATTTTCGTTTAACATGTTTAACCCCGCAGCATTTTTTGCGCCTGTCCCAAGTCAGGAGCCTCTGGCCTTTGTTAGTCTTGTATCATTTTTAATTTTAGTTTCTTGTGTATAATTTGGAGTTTAATATGAAGTCCATTATCACTGAACTAGTATACATATTTGTTATGGGGCCAGCTGAAGGACGCCTCCGGGTGCGGGAGTTTCTCGCTGCATTGAAGACCCATTGGTGGCCTTCGGCTGTTGTCTGCTCTATAGTCGGGTTGTTGTCTCTTTGACACATTCCCCATTTCCATTTTCAATTTTATTGATATATAATGTTATATACACAGCTATCTTACACTCCTTGAAATTTTTGAATAAAGGGAAAAAAGCCTGAATTTATTTCTGAAGAAGACATTGAAGTATAATGGAAATATCAGGGTCAAAATGAATTTGAAAAAGGTAGTATTTTTTAATAAAGTCTTTTTATCTGCAAAACTATGGAAATGACCTTTATATCGAAATATGAATTGGTTTATTTTCTTTTTTTCAGCTGTAGGTCAGGCTACTCTGTCCCCACAGAAAAATTGTAAAGCAGGATATATCTCCCATGGAACCAGTTGTTATAAGTTTGTAAAGACACCAGTCCAATCATGGCAACTAGCAGAAAATTTCTGTCAAGGTGATGGTGGTGTTCTTGCATCTATCAATTCTAATTATGAGAATTCATTTATAGAGTCTCAAATGGGACCAAACTTTGATTACTGGATAGGACTTCAATTTAACCAGGTATAACGGCTTATCCTTTTTATGTATAACTGATTTTCCAGTTTTACTTATTTATTTTGTTATTGTTTTTATTTATTACTCTATATGTATCTATTCAAGTTTACCTTTATAAACATTGTCATTGGAATTGCCCTAAATTTTTATTTGCTCAACTTTTGACATTTTTACAATTTATTTCTAACCTTTACAGTATTATTGAATTATTAATGTTGATAAATTATAAAGAGTAATAACTGGTGAAATTAACTCACAGATATTACATTTTATTGGCTGACAATTACCATATATAACAGATATTACTTTTTATTGGCTGACAATTAAGATATATAACATATGACAAAAGTTTACACCTTTCTAAAAGAAAATGTTACAGATTAAAGGAAGACAAAATTGAGTATATAAAAAAATTGATAAATAAAAAGATAAATGGTACTGTAAAAGACAATTGAATTGAATCATAGTATGAAATACAGCCTTATAATTACTCTAAAAAAAAACAGTGTTTATATATATATGGATATATTCTTCCCAGTTTAGTAACACTTATACCTGGCAAAAGAGTTGGCCTGTTACATTTACAAATTGGGGATATGGTGAACCCAGTCAGGGACCATCAGACAGATGTGTTAAGTCAAAAAATGGACTATGGGATGATACTAGCTGTACTCTTACTCTAGGATATGTCTGTGAAATTAATTCTGGTATGTTTTAGTGTATTGCCAATAATGAATCATAAACATAATGAACTATAGAGATCATTACAAAGGTCAGCAGCCTAAAACGTTGGAATCATTTATTCTTATTACATATTGAACTGCAGGGAAATTAGCATTCAACCTAAAGACAATGGTTTGTAAAAGGTTTTAAATGCTGATACCATCACCATCAAAGGGAGGGATATGTTTATATTCAAAATAATTGAAATAAAAAAAATGTTATTTTCTGAAGGTCCACAGGACTAAGGAACATTCTCTTATAAGATTTAAACGTTTTAGATATTATTTGAAATTCACTTTTTATAAAGGACATTATTGTATTGTTAAACTGAACAATTCAACCAGTTATTTTTTCAACATTTTAAGAGGTAATTTTCACTACTTACATATTCCCAAACAGTTATTTTAAAAATTAGAAGATGTGGTAGGATTGTCAATGAAACAACTCTCCACCAGAAACCAAATGACATTTTGCCTATTTGCAGTTTCCTGAGGGTAAAAAGGGATGTTTTTGTTTTAAAAATTTACCTGAATGTGCTTAAGTGCAGCTGAATTGAAAATTGAATGCAAGAATTTGATCCATGATCAACAAGCATGGCTGCTGTTGCTAAATATAGAACAAAGTGGTCAGCATATGCTTTTGATTAATGTCTTAAAAATTATACTAGATGTAGAAAAAAAATGCTACCTAAAATTGATGAAGATGCCAATGTTTAGTTCTTGCAGAGTCTGCGACTTCTGTTGCAGAAAGCAAGACTTAGGGATAGTGATCCCATAGCAGGGGGCGGCGTTAAGTAATTACTTGAAAGCTTAATATTTCAGAAGGTAGATGACATGGATGAATCATATTTTGTATATAGATGCCTTATGTTATGAAGTTCCAGTCTGTCATATGTCCTTGTCCTCATTTTCATGGATTAGTGACTACTTGAAAAAAGTTAAGATTTTTTTGTAATGTTAATTTCTCTCTTATTATGAGTAATAGGATAACTTTATTTATTATGTACCTACCTTGGAAAGTCCTCATGCCTGTCAGACAGTTTTCACTCAGTGGAATGGATCAGTGAATAAGGTTAAGTTTTTGTGGTCAAGTCCATATCTCAGATACTATAGGCAATAGGTCTACCATATTTGGTGTATGTAATGATTGTAAGGTGTACATGTCCAACTGGCAGGTGTCATCTGACCTTGACCTCATTTTCATGGTTCATTGGACAATGTTTAGTTTTTGTGGTTTGGTCTATTACTCAGATATTATAAGCAATAGGCCAATTATATTTGGTGTATGGAAAGATTGTAGGGTATACATGTCTGTCTGGCAAGGTTCATATGACCTTGATCTCATTTTCATGGTTCATTCGTCAATAATAAGATTTTGTAGTTTTATGTGTTTCTCAGGTACTATTATGGACCATACCACTATATTTGATGTATGGAATGATTGTAAGGTGTACATGTCTGTCTGGCATAGTTTCCTATACTTTACTATAGTTGGTGTAGAGAAGGATTGTAAGATCAACAAGTCAGTCTGGCAGGGTTCATCTGTCAGTGTATTCATTTTCATGAATGTCAATAATAAGTTTCTAGAGTAAGGTCCTTTCTCGTATACTATAAGACATAGGCTAACTATATTTGGTGTATGGAATGATTGCAAGGTGTACATGTCCATCTTGCAGGGTTTATCTGAGCTAGACCTCATTTTTTTATGGTTCATTGGAAAATGTTAGGTTTTTGTGATGTGGTCTTTTTCTCAGACACTATAAGCAAAAGGTCAACTATATTTGGTGTATGGAATGGTTGTTAGGCGTTCATGTTTGTCTGGAAAGGGTATGTCACCTTGCCCTCATTTTTATAGATTATTGATTATTATTGTGTGAATCATGATCAATAAAGCAGACAAGACATCTCAGTGTGTGCACTCTATTTTACCTATTGTAGCAGAATAAAGCTTTGTGAGTGCCTACTCTGAAACAATATGTGCAAAAGTTTTCATACTTATGAGATTGTTTTGACCATAATATACCTGCATTTTATCTGAAAGTGTTGACAGTAGTTTTTGACCTTTTTTGTCCTATATAACATTATGATTTTCCTGAGACTTTTTGTCCAGCAGCTTTATTATTTGTAAGAGTTGATAGCTAGTCATCAAGTGTTATTGATCATACTATACTTCCATTTTGATTTAATGATTTTTGCAGGAGTTATGGGGATTTTTGGTTAAATCTGAATATTATTGCATGTAAGCGCATCAAGCAGAATGACTTTGATTTGCAAGTGATATGGTGTTTCATAATACTGTCTTTTGAAAACTAACCAACAAAACTTATTGGAAGAAGAACATATTTTGAGAAGAAATTGTATGTTAAAAAAATAATGCATTTTTGATACAATTTCAAACAGTGAATGAATTATCAACAGTATGATTTTTTTTCAAATATATTTTTAAGTGGATTGCAGGCTTATATTGTCTTGTAATTATAGCTCAGCCTCCTGCTCCAACACAGGCACCGCCAGGGCATTGCCGTAACCGTGATGAGACAATTCGAGGAGACTACTGCTACTACTTTAGTCCATTTACATACTTGGACTGGCCAACAGCTAGATTTACATGTAATAAACGCTTGATGGATCTTGTCAGTATCACTTCTACAGATGACCAGAGTTATGTTTGGATGGTTATGTTGAATGCTAGGTCACCTACTGGACAACATACAGCACAAAATATCTGGGTTGGCCTCACAAAAGGAATATACAGTAAGCATTGTTCTCATTTGCTCTATCAGCAATCAGATGATATATTTCATGCATGCATGTCATGTAATGAAGCTATTTATCATATTGAATGTTGGTCAACATTATGTTTATTTTTACTCATAAGGGGTTAATGTTTTCCGTTTATTACGCATTACTTCATCTTTAAATCATTTGTTGATGCACCTAATGAAATACTTGTTCTGACTAACTTAGATCAGTTTGACCTACTTTTCATACTTCTCTAATTTATTCTTAAAAGTTCTTATCTGGAATGTAAAAGATTAAAAAATTGTCTATCTGTGCATGGAGCTGCTTTTTAAGTAAGTCATTATCCAGGCTAAAATAAATATTCTAATGTTACTTTCTATTTGTGGTTAACTTATTTCTGTGTAAGTTTACATTAGAGGTCACTTATTTGTTTCTGTGCCTCACACAAAATGTCCAAGAAGGGCTCTTGCTGGCATGTAAGTTTTTCTAGTTGGTGGTGTATTTTTAATATTTAAAGATTTGACATGCACCATAAATTTAGAATTTATCACAAAAAAAATAGAAAAGAAAGGATATGGGGTATCCATCCATGACACAAAATCAGACTATGTACAGCAAAAAACATAAAAAGCAAAGGAACAGCGCTTTTATTGCTGTTCTTCATCCAGGGTTTTCATTAAGAGTCGGCACCCGGCGGAATGTCGCGGTTTCAAAAGACGGAAATCGCCGGTTCAAATGCTTAAACAAAAAATAATTTTGAAGAGAATCAAATAAAAACAAAGTTTTATTAACCTTTTGTCTCATGGAGTTTTTAGTTTCATAGATTTTTCAAAAACGATGGCTTTTTATAACCGACTGGACCATTTTGTCTGACTGAAAGTAAACTTAAAATCGGCGTCAGTAAGACGTTTGCCTGCATTCAAATACAATCTTCAATCAATCGCTTGAATGATCAAGATTGTCAATGGTAAAATCAAGAGAGATATCGAAATAAAAACGTATGTTATCAATGGATAACTCATGAGAAACCAAAATTAAAAAGTTTTAGAAGGCAATTTTTTAAATTGCATGTCAATAAATTAAATGAAACTGAATGAAATGAAAGACCAAAAGTAAATGATTTCTTTACCAGCAAAAAGACAAAATCATTGGAACCATTTACAGGTAAAACTTTTTATTGAAGTTATTAAAGTTCAAAGAAGCCTTAGAAGTTCTGTACAGTCTCATGTTTATATAAATGAGGCCTGCCCAAGCTTGCCGTCTATGCCCTTTTTATAATGTAACAAGTATTTCATTATTACCACCCTTTAACTCTTGGGAAGGGAAGAGGGTTGAAAATAGTGCCTAGGCTAGGAGGGGTGCTGGCAATTTTTTTTTTTACCTTTTCTCTTCAGTTTGTAGTAGATAGTTCCAGTTTTATCATTGCCCATTTGTTGTGGATGGGGCCATCACAGAAGCCTAGGATAGGAGGAAGGCTTCCCATTTTTTATTTATAGTTGGACCTTTGGCTGTCCCCTCAAGTTTTACTGAAAAAGTAGGTAGGAGGGTAAGTGCCAAGGCTAGGGAAAAGGCTCTCTTTATTTTTTTCAGTTATAATTTTCCCCTTGCTGACCATTAGCCCACTCGTTGAAAAAAGTACCAATGTTAGGATGGGTCCTACCTCAGTTTGAATTTTTTTTACATTAACCTATCTCGAATGGAAGCTTTTGTTAAAAGTGCTGGCTAAGAAGGGGTGGACATTTTCCCGATTCAGCATATATGTCCTTTCCCAGGTTTGCATGTTTTTATTGAAATATAGAACACATGAAAATAATATTTCTTTTCTGGATCAAAACTGAAATTGTCAGATTTTGCAGATGACATATATACATGTAGGTCTTTACATAAATATAAGAAGATGTGGTATGAGTGCCAATGAGACAACTCTCCATCCAAGTCACAATTTGTAAAAGTAAACCATTATAGGTCAAAGTAAGGCCTTTAACACGGAGTCTTGGTATTAATAGTTTATGCTGACCCTCCGTTGCTTTCTTACTTTTTGCGAAATCTGGCAATACAATAACAATTAAGATTATTTTTGATATATTTTTATTTGTCTTATTTTAATACGCAATATCACAAGATTGACCTTACAAGCTAAAAAAAAAGATAACATTCTTATGAAACCCCATTTTTTATGTACTTGTAAATAGCTTGAAAATGCCTCAGAGTGCACCATTTTCAATGTAAGTTCAAAACAAATTTTTGGGGGGCAAGCCCCCCCTGACCCCCACTTTTTGATCAGCCACTTCAAATTAAACAGCCTGTTCATTGAAAAGTTATTGAAAGCCCTGCTTCATCTCAAAGTCTCATTGAGGCCTTCAACATGGAGCAAAAAAATCTCATCTCACTGGAAGTTTAAGATGGCTCCTAGCACAAGTCTATTATTTTCATCACTGTGGCAGTTAAGGGTCATGTGCTAAGACAACTTAGACAACACATGTTGTTTTTGATTTTAAATCTTTGTTCCTTCAGGTATCTTTAAGTTTTATCAGTTTACTTTGTCATTGAAATTGTAGGTGGTTTTATGTGGGCAGACACTACAGCTTTAAGCTTCACTAATTGGAACACTGGTGAACCATCAGATCCTGTCAATGCTACCAAGGAAGAATGTGTAGAAATGTACAGAGACAGTGGGAAATGGAATGATATTGCCTGTGACCAGAAAAAATCATTTGTTTGTAAAGGCAGAGCATGTAAGTGATAGTCATTGTAGCAGATCTTTGGTTTGTGAAGGACAATACTTGTACTCCCTTATGTGAAAGAATTTTTGATTCTGTGTTTGAGAATTTTTCTTTCCATTTAATCCATCTCAATCATTTTCATTTCCCTTTTATTTTTTCCGTTTACTCATAAATTCTATGTAACAATTAGACATTACAGAAGACCAAAAAACATAGATAAATGAACTGCTGTACAAGGACAGCATGGTATGCTTATGGTCCACCATATGTACAATGAGAGCATGGTACGCTTGTTGTCGATATTTTATTCCTTGAAGTCCAATAAATATCTGTCGTCAAGCATATTGAGAACAAAAAAATGTATAAAAAAAATAATATGAGGAATTATTTACAGCTTATAAACTGTTATAAAATTTAAATGGATTAGATTAAAAAAAAAGGTACTTCGCTTAGTACACACCAGAAATTGTCTATACATTGTATTTTGACAAATAAATTCCTTTAATAGATATAAGAAGATGTGGTATGAGTGCCAATGAGACAACTCTCCATCCAAGTCACAATTTGTAAAAGTAAACCATTATAGGTCAATGTACGGCCTTCAACACGGAGCCTTGGCTCACACCGAAACAGCAAGCTATAAAGGGCCCCAAAAATGACTAGTGTAAAACCATTCAACACAGGAAAACCAAAGGTCTATTCTATATAAAAAACAAGAAACACTTATGAACCACATCAACAAACGACAACCACTGAACATCTTTAACTCTGGAAAGACAATGGTATTGATATATATGAAATCATATGATTTGAAATAAAGCTTTTCTTTAGGAATCGAAACATAGAGTAAACATTTTATATATATGATCCAATAAAGTAAATTTGTGTAATCCTGAAATTTGGATCTAATTCTCAATATTTAAAGGTTTAAAATCCCTATGGAACAGCAAGTAAGGAAATTATCAAAATCAAAATGGGAGTTTGTCTATGAAACAAGCCATGGTTCTGCTTATATGAAATCACAACTGATAAACAAATGAAATATATTTATAAAACATTTTTAGTTTGTCCCAGATGAAAAGCTGTGAATACTGTGATAATTGTTCGAATGACTAGATATTAAAAATAACAAATTATAAGCACATTTGACAGAATACACAGCACACATATAAATAAAACACATGCATAATATAATAGATAGGCAACATGCATAAATCAAAGCAAGCAAGCTATAAAACACATTTGAGTGAACTTGAGTCTGTTAATTATACATAAGACATTATATTTGATGCACCAATTTGTGACAGTTTTTGGAAGAAAATTATATGCTGATTATATTACAAATATTGATGTGATTATATAACTATGTCTATGATTTATGGGTTGTTTGTTTTTTTTTTTGCAGTACTTGGAGCTGGAACAGTACCTGTAACCACTCTAGCTCCAGTTACACCGCCAAACGTTGGTCCAGTGACTCAACCTAATATTGGTCCGGCAACAAAGCCTATTGTTGGTCCAGCAACTACACCAAAAGGTGTCGTAACTTTTCCAACATTTCCCAATGTGTTTTCCTCAAGAACTACACCTGCACCAAATAAGAATAACGTGCCATATGTACAGCCAACTGGATTTATAAATGGTCCCAAAAATCAAGCTCAGACAAGAGTTTTAAGTAAGTAGCACCCATTTGTTACTTAGTATTTTACTTAAGACTTAGATTTTGTGGCTTGCTTTATCTGGTGGAAAAGATTTCATTAAAAATGATTAACTTGTTGGGGAAAGAATAAATTGGCTAAGAATTAGAGAAATTTTCCTTTAACACAAAAAAAGAAGTAAGAAAATACCAAAGGGCAGTAGAAAATTATATGTAGAAGAAGGATAGACAACATTGTGGACCCAATGAACAAAATAAGATGCAAAAAAAGTCCATAAATTAGAGATAGAGCTACACAAACCCTGCTGTAACAGGAGAATGATGTACTTAGTCATTTTATGCGTGATTGGTCAACACTACCAGAGGTCATCTAGATCTATGTAGATTTTGCTGATTGTTACAGTAAGAACAGTTATATGTCATCTATGTTTCAATTACATACCTGCCAACCTCCCTCTTTCCAAAACCATAAGGGGGAAGATTATGTGTGAAGACCTTTTTTAATTCAAAATTTTGTATTCAGATACTTAGTATTTGTATATTTATGCACAAAAAGATTAAATTTAATCATCTATACAAACATTTAATCAGTTAAAACAAAATTCTTGATGAGATGGCTTGTCTTTTTACTATGCAACTTAGAATTGGTTTTGCATTTCCGTGAAAATCAATCACAAAACACTATAATCAAATTCACTTAAATGATGAAAGGGGGTGATATAGGGTAATGTTTTTTTCAAAGAAGGAGATTTTGACCTCTCATGTGACAGGTCCCAAAAAGAATATTTAACATTTTTTTCAGAAAAAGGGTATTTCCTTCCTATATCTTGTGTGTTGGAAGGTATCCTATTATCTCATTAAAATCTTTCTAATTACTTCTTCTTTCTTCTCAAACTATCTTAAATAATTAAAACTCAGATTTTCTTGTTTTGATTTGTATACAAGTTATTTATATATATATTTGTTCCATTGTAGGTAATAAGACTGGGTTGTCAGGTGGAGGTTTAGTAGGGGTTTTAATCACTGTTATTGTAGTGTTAGGTGTGGTTGCAGTGGTAGGCATGCTGTTCTATAAGAAACGTAATCCATCTGCTGGTGGTGGTGGTGCTGGCAGTTTTGACAATGCATTGTACTTTAAAGGTAATGAAGAGGTTAACATCAATAGTAGTGGTGACACTGGTGAAGCAGATGCATGATCTGACAGTACAAAGCTGAATTATTTGTCATGTTACCTGTGAATATGTACAATATACAAGTGTTTGTTATTGAAGGAACATTCAAAGACTGAGTATGTTTTATAGGGCACAATACAAGAAGAACAGTTTTGAATCATTTTGTAAATAGTTTGTTTCATTTTGACAGACATCAGAATTTTTTGGCCACTGCGACACAAATTTGCATTGAATGACTTTCACCTTTTTTTTGGTAAAAGTCTAATTATAGAAGGGGAAATCAAGGCTTTCAGTGTATTAAATGCTCAATGAGTTTAAGAGTATGCTTTCAAATGTCTGGTACGTTACCTTTTATCGGTGAGATGTTTTCATCTTATACATTTTGCATCAAAAAAGGGTTCTGAATATTGCATCTTACAATGAAACAGTGTCAAAGAAGATGATGGAATGTATATACATGCGACCAATAGATTTTCCTGAAACAAAGTTATATGTACTTTCAAAATTCAGTTAAAAAATATTAATCCGTCTACTTATTATTTCAAAGTTTATTAATCTCTCAAAGTGGAAAATTATTATTTCTAAAAAAAAAAAACAAGTTGCCTTTTAAAAATTGAATATTTTTCTTGGAAACAATACTTGAAAAAAATCTATTACTTTTCATTAAATTTAAAGAAATACATCTCCGCTCCTCTTCATCCTTGTTAGATTAAGTCAGAATTTGGGATCCACCAGTTAATGATTTCCATTGGTTACAGTTGTAACTAGCTGCATCGAATAAAAATATCTTTGAGATGATCATGTGAAAATGCAGAAAATGTATATTAACAATTTCCATGTGCAGATTATAGTCGGAGTGGGCGACTTCTATCTGTTGCTAGATGGCACTACCCTGTATACACAAATATTGTCTTAATCTGCTAAGGGCGAAGAGAAGTGGGTTGGATCGTAACCCTTGGCTAGCGAAAATGAAAGAAATATAGATGTATCCATTTTTTTTTCCTTGCTATTTAAAAAAAAATAAATTGATTTGCCATATTATACAATTAAATGATCACCCCTGGTTTTAATCCCATTTGTTCAAAAGATATCTCCCCTGGCAAAATTACAGGAGCCATTTTCACAAAAATCTTACAATTAAAATTGGTCGTAAGTTATAATAAAATGTTCATGACTTATAAGTTTTTTTTCTCGTAAGTTTTTTTGTGAAATTGTTGGTAGATTCTTTGATTTATGAATAAGTCAATAATTGTAAATAATTGTATGTTTTTTTTTTTAATCTATCCCTTCAAATAAGATCAAATGTTTTAAACAAGTGCAAAAAACAGTAGCTATTTCAATTTCAGTATTTTAGTATTTTCATTGAATCAGTTTCCCTTTTTTTGTTAAAGTGTTTTCATCAAATCACTTTCAATATGTCATGGTATTAAAGTTAAAAGGCCTTTTTAGGGGAGTTTGCATTAATTCAACTTCAAATTGAAAAGTTGTAAGGCTTCAGTACGAAACCAGGATGATTCTTGGCAGATCCTCACATTTTCCCTGTTTCTTAGCCGCATCCTTATATGTTTTTTGATGCCAAGTAAATACACTTTTATTGCCTGTGTTTTTTTTTTTTACAGGATTTACATGTTTGACTCCAATAAAAACTAATTGATCATATTTACGCATTGCTTGTAAATAAATATGCACATGTAAACTTCAGTTGTAATTGAAGTAATTTTCACCAGTTTTGGTATGCTGTTAATTGATATTTTTTTATTTTTTTTACTGACTGGTCAGCTATTTTTCTTTATTGAACATTTATAAACCAATAAGAAATCAAGCAATGTGGCCTTAAGACCTGATGACAATGCAGTTAGATGTTATATTTTATTTTTGTACTCTAGCATTTGTGCAATAGTGTATTCATTTTTTTCTGTATTGTCTATGCATTTGTGCAATAATATACTGTGTTTTCCTGTATTTTCTATTCATTGTGCAATAATGTGTTAATATTTTCTTGTCTTTTCCATGCTTTTGTGCAATAACGTTTTATTTTCTTCTTTTTTTTGAGCATTTGTGCAATATGTTTTAGAATGCTGTCATTGGTTTGGTGTAATTGTCATTCCTATCAATCATTTGTGCAATAAACCCAAATTCATTGTGATCACATTGTTGTTTGAATAAATTTATAAACACCATATTTTCCTTTTTACCACTTTCCCCAATAGACAAAAATAGTATTTTTATGCCCCACCAAGGGGCATTATGTTTTTCGGTCTGTGTGTCCGTTCGTCTGTCTGTCTGTCTGTCCGTCCGTCCGTCTGTCCCGCTTCAGGTTAAAGTTTATGGTCGCTTCAGGTTCAAAGTTTTTGGTCAAGGTAGTTTTTTGCTGAAATTGAAGTCCAATCAACTTGAAACTTAGTACACATGTTCCCTATGATATAATCTTTCTAATTTTTAATGCCAAATTAGAGTTTTGACTCCAATTTCACGGTCCACTGAGTATAGAAAATGATAGTGTGAGTGGGGCATCCGTGTACTATGGACACATTCTTGTTCATGACCTTGTTCAATGACTATTAAAAAATTGTAAAGTTTTTTGTGATTTTTCAAAGATTTTATGAGAAATAGGACTGTATTAGGTATATAAGATCATTGCAAGGTATCCATGTTTGTAAATAAAACATGCAGAAAGAAAGAATTGCAAAACTTTCTTATTCTCTGACTTTAATAAAATGCATTGCTGAGCGCAGTCCGATACGACCGCAGAGGTCGAACCCTGAACAGTTGGGGCAAGTTTGGACACAATATTCAAGCTTGATACTGTCTGAATTTGGATTGTGATCAAATTTTTGACATAATATAGGTTTCTGACACAAAATAAATGTGGTCAAAGATCTTAACAATTTGAAATGGGACATTTAATTTATCTAGAATGGTCTGATATCTAAAATCTTGCAACATGGTTAGATTCAGCATATAAAAAAACACCAATAATTTAATTTTAGTTGAAATCAAACAAAGTTTTATTTTGGACCCTTCAAATCTTAACATGAACTAATTTGAAAACGGGGCCCAAAATATGAATCTAAATGCACAATAAGATTTAGCAAATCATACAGCCGCAATAATTCAGTTTTTGATGAAAATCAAACAAAGTTTAATCTTGGACCCTTTTGACCTCAATGTAGACCAATTTAAAAATGGGGCCCAATATCCCAAAAAAATTATACAAGGTTAGAACCCCCAAAACTTAAAGACTTAATTAATCCTATTGAAATTGGTTAAAGCATTTGTATTTGTTTTCAATGGAAGATTTCTTGCTATTGCGCAATACTGTGCAATTGAAGATTTCTGGCTATTGTGCAATACTGTGCAATTGAAGATTTCTTGCTATTGTGCAATACTGTGTTGTTGCACAATACTGTTCAATTGAAGATTTTTTGCTATTGCGCAATACTGTGCAATTGAAGATTTCTTGCTATTGCGAAATACTGTGCAGTTAAAGATTTCTTGCTATTGTGTAATACTGTGCAATTGAAGATTTCTTGATATTGCGCAATAATGTGATATTGCACAATACTGTGCAATTGAAGATTTCTTGCTATTGTGCAATACTGTGCAATTGAAGATTTCTTGCTTTTGCCCAATACTGTGCTATTGTACAATACTGTGCTATTGCGCAATACTGTGCAATTGAAGACGTCTCTGGTCTGACATGCAAACAAAAGGAGGTTTGGGATACAGGTGTACTGAGGTTCTGAAGGAGGTGTCTGCATGGCTGTATGGAAAGAATTAATACACTGTCATGTTCTGTTGGGATGAGGATGTTAAAGTCCTGGGTTGGGAGAATTTCTAGCCTTCTGCACGTAAAAGAAACTAGAATAATGCTTTTAGGGGCCTGTAAGTAACTTATTGCTAGACAAAATTTCTGCCACAAGCCAGTATAAAGCCCTTCTTGAGTGGCAGTTCAAATTTCCTGTAAAAACTAAACTGTCTCCTGATATGTCATATGGCATTGAGCTCAATTAAATGTTCAAATGGTTAGCTTATAGTTTTCCGGATTAAGTATGTGTCCATTGAATTAAACATATATCAGTTACTTTAGAATGCTATTTGATGTTTCAGGAGTTGGTGCAAAAATTTGCATGAGTCGGAAAATCTTCACTTTTGGTCTTGTGAAAATATGCTCTAAAAATATATAAATTTACAGATGCTAGCTATGTCATTCGGCCGACTTTGTCAAATGGCGCTTTGACTGCTGATATTTAGCTCCAAATATAAATACATATAAGTTTCGTGTTTCCAGTATTGTTGTTTCCAGCATGATCAACGCATTGGTTATCAAGAATTGTGATTTTGTCATAATAACTGGCGAAAATTTATTTTTAGAATTCCGTCTGATTAAATGAACTGTTGAATACCTGTGACCAATAGACAAATCTATAAGTCTCACTAGATACTAAAGACAACAAGTTTGCTGTATTTGGTAATATTTTTAGGTTTACGAACACGCATCAAAGAGACCTTAAAGGAATAAAAAAACATTTGCACAATGTCGAAGGAATGATAATGAAGAAAAATAGATCCATCCTGAGTCTGTATATGTTAATGTTGTGAATAAATTTAGTTGAAAAATTAAAAGATCTACCATTTATATTAGATTCTCAAAATAATCTAAAACATTAAGAAATGACATATGACAACTACTGATGAGATGTTTACATATATTTGTTCCTCCTCACAGAAGTTCTCTGGAAACTTGTTATACCCCCACGCAACGAGTTGCGGAGGGTATAATGTTTTTGACCCGTCTGTCTGTCTGTCCGTCAGTCCGTCAGTCCTGATTCTTGTCATCGCAACTCCTCTCAAACCACACAACAGAATTTTATGAAACCTTTTCAGATAATAAGGACATACTACGTAGATGTGCATATCGACAGGAAATTACGATTCAATTTTTTTTCTAGGAGTGACGCCCCTTTGAACTTATTTGCTTCATTTTACCACTGCAACAGTTGTCATCGCAACTCCTCTCAAACCAGACAACAGAATTTCGTGAAACATTTTTAGATAATAAGGACATACTATGTAGATGTGCATATCGACAGGAAATTACGATTCATTTTTTTTTCTAGAGTTATGCCCCTTTGAACTTATTTGCTTCAATATACTACTGCAACAGTTTGTCATCGCAACTCCTCCAAAACCACACAACAGAATTTCATGAATCTTTGTAGATAATAAGGACATACTACGTAGATGTGCATATCGACAGGAAATTATGATTCATTTTTTTTTCTTACTGTTATTTTATTTCTCCAGTGACAATGTGGGGACGTGGGGTATGTGAGCGCGCTCACTAAGGTTCTTTAATTATAAACAATGCTAGACAGTTATGAGACTTGGAGGTATTGAAAACACCTTGTGTAGACAGAGACATATATATATTTCTCTGGTATAGATTATAACCATGAATTGAAGAAATACAGTATATTTATTAACTCTTATTGGTGTTGTGTAGATGAATACGTAAACAGGTCATATATTTAACTTGAAAATGTCGTTCGCGAAAAATCTCTGCCTCAGCTGTCATAGCTGAGCGGGAGATCTCCCTCTTTGAAGGTTTCAGAGGTTGGCAGGTATGCTAGACTATATGTTTCTGTTGCGACAAATATTCTATACCCTTTGTTCCGTTTGGAACATATACTCTTATATGTCTTCTAGAGGATAAATTATTTCAAAATATTTCTTATAAAGGAACTTTTATTCCATGACACTGATTCCTGACTTGGGCCATGCACTTAAAATGTGGCAATGTTTAAATTTAGACATTTATTAGTTCTAGTTTTGGTAAACTAGTTTTAGTCTCGTTGTCACAGAATGTGAGACATGACAATGCCTTATGTTACTAAGTTTCTGTCTCGTGAAATTTTTCTATAGTTTTTTTGTCATGTGTAATACTCACTTATTATGAGTAATAGGATAACTATATTTGGTAAATGGGATCCTTGCAGTGTCTACATATCCGTCAGAGAGAGTTCACCTCACCTCGACCTCATTTCATGCATCAGTGATCAAGGTTAAGTTTTCGAGAATAATTCCGTATCTCAGATACTATAAGCAACAGGTCAACTATATTTGGTAAAATTGAGAATGGAAATGGGGAATGTGTCAAAGAGACAACAACCCGACCACAGAACAGACAACAGCAGAAGGCCACCAACAGGTCTTCAATGCAGCGAGAAATTCCCGCACCCGGAGGCGTCCTTCAGCTGGCCCCTAAACAAATATATATACTAGTTCAGTGATAATGAACGCCATACTAAACTCCAAATTGTACACAAGAAACTAAAATTATGTATGGAATGATTGTAAGGTGTGCATATCCGACTGGCAGGTTTAATCTGACCTTTACCTCATTTTCATGGTTCATTGCTCAATGTTAAGTTCTAGTGGTTTGGTCGGCTTCTCATATACTTTAAGCAATAGATCAGCTGTATTTGGTGTATGGTGTACATGTCTGTTTGGCATGTTTCATCTGACCTTGACCTTTTTGCATGGTTCATTGGACAATGTTAAGTTTTCGTGGTTTGGTTGACTTCTCAGATACTATATTTGGTGTCTGGGAGGATTATAAGGTGAACATGTCTCACGGTCTAACAAGTTTCATATGACTTGACCTCATTTCCGTGGTTCATTAGTCAATGTTAAGTTTTCATATTTTGTTATTTATAGTTTATCCTGAGACTTCTATAACACATAACAGTCTCAGTTTTATCAGGTACTATAAGCAATAGGTAAATTATATTTTGTGTAAGGTGAACATGTCTGTCTGGCTGGGTTCATCTGACCTTGACCTCGTTTGGTTCATTGGTCAATGTTCAGCTTTCGTAATTGGATCTATTTCTCAGATGCTATAACGCAATAGGCTAGCTATATTTGGTTTATGGTATGATTTTAAGGTGAACAAACATGTCTTTCTGCAATTGTTCCTCTGACCTTGACCTCATTTAAATGGATCATTGATTATGTTGAGATTTTGTGTTACTTGAAGTTAAACCTTCATATTACAGACTTTCAACATACGTTCCATTATGATAAGCAAAGCAGGCGAGACATTTCAGCGTGTACACTCTTATTTTTATTCTGGATCCTCCCTCTTTAAAATCTCGATCAATAGATTAACATTATATATGTCCTACATTAAAGAACAGACAATAAAATTCAGTCACAGAAGGAAAGGCACCCAACTCTTAGATGACGGTTTTGTGTATTGTTCATCCGTCAACACTTAGTAAAAACTCCTCATAGAACAGTAGCTTAATGTCAATGTACCTGTGTGAAAGTATTTAGAGCTATATTTCTTATCCAAGTAGATGTTTGGGGTCCACTGTGACACAGCAAGAAATAAACTTTGTCTATCTATTTATCAACAAAAGGTGTAGACATATATTTCTTATAAAACCACCAACTTGTTATGGTGACTTTACAAATGTTTCTTTCACAAGACACGTTTCTGCCTGATATGTAGTGATTGATCCGAATGAATTTGAGCTTTCTGACAACATCACACATATTCTGCTATTCCTATCTAAATGAGCGAAGTTAGGTTGGTACTTAATATTGAAGTTCATATGAAATAAGGAGATGTGGTATTATTGTCAATGATAAAACTGTCCAACATATTCCAAATGACGTGGATTTAAGCAATCAAATGTAACCGTACGGCCTTCGACAATAAACAAAACCCATATCTTTTAGTCTGCTATAAAAAGACCCCGACATAATGAAATGTGAAACAATTCAAACGAAAAATCTAACGGCATGATTTATGACATAATAAAAGACACACACACAGCAACAACGACAGCCACTGAATTGGAGAGGCACATACAGAATGTGGCGGAATTTGACATGGTTATGAGCACTCGACCCTCCCCCTTATCTGGGACAATAGTGTAATAGGACAACATAAGAACAACCTGTAAAATACAGTTGGATAATCACAGCAAATAAAAACAACTAACATAACGACAAAGGATACAAAGTTACCGATCTAAAGAGTACTCGCAGTTACTGAAAGCTAGTTCAAAGCCAATAATACTGAACTATTGACTGAATCATGTTCTTCAAATCTAAAGTATCAACCAGTACACATCCAACTATACATGTATTTAGTCCCAGAGTAAATAATGAATCTGTGACCTGGACTTGCATGGTGTTTTTTTCTGTCTGTAACCTATGACTGAATAATAACCATAGTGACATTATTAAAACTAAGTAATACAAATGAATCCTTGCAACCCGGATACAAAATGCACAACCGCTATATTTGTCGTCTTGCGTCCGGTTTTGGGAGTAAAATCATGTTTATTTATTGATTTTGTTTCTATAAAAATTAATGTCATTTTTAAGTTCACCTGAACCAAAGTGAACTATACAAGTGCAATAAACAGACACGATTTCCTGTTGTGTATAAAATTAATACATATAGTTGTGAGACACTCGCTAAAATCACAGAAAGACACAGCTAGCTTATTCCTGCAATTAACAAGTAAAATATAATTTAGCTGAAATATTTATGATCTGTAAAATGCAAACGTGTCAGGATTGTTTCCTTTAATGACCTCTCCCCTAATAAGATGTACCAGAACTGCGGTTACTATTTGTACGATTCCTCCTATTCCGGCGGGTACCAAGGAAAAGGGGAAATCATAATAGTGATCTGCATTTTTGGTATGCAGGTTCTTGTTGGCGGTTAGTGTTGCGGTTAAAATTCTTCCACAAGCAACCAGTATGAGTAATCCTACAAGAAAAAGTAAATTCTGTAGACTTACTATCATGTAATCAATAAACCAGTGTTATTTATTATATTATTTTTGTTTATTGATGTGTGCTACATGCACTATGTCGCATTACATTTGCGTGAATGAGAGACTTGTGTTAGTCGTCACTTTGTTTCACTACATGATTGTCAGTTTAGTTTAAACATATTTTATTTGCTTAAATATGCAAAAGGGATGAGACACAAGTTAATCAAACTTATGAAGTCTTCTCCCATGATTGTCAATGATAATTTGTCACTTTGTACCACTTCATGTATGTCAATGAGAGATTTGTGATAGTTGTCACTCCCAGTACATATGTATCAATTAGACAGATGTGTTAGTCTTCACTATGTCCAATTACATTTGAATGAATGATTTGAGATAGTCGTCACTTTGCCCCACTACATGTGTGTCAATGATACTGTGTCCCTTTGTTCCACGACATGTGCGTCACTTTGTCTCATTACATGTATGTAAATGAAAGATTTGTGTTCGTCGTTGCTTTGTCCCACAACGTGTGTCAATGAGAAATTTGTTCTTATTTTTTAGGCTGGACCATTCGTTGGTTACAGTTTCCAGATAATAAAAAAAAAAGTGAGAGCCGGGTTTATAGTGAACTACAAAGACGGTTTGCCTATAATTGCTTACATCTACTTCATTTTGACTTTGGTGGATAGTTGTCTCATTGGCAATCATACCACACCTCCTTATTTTTATATGCAGTGGAAGTAGTAACAAGAGGCTCTCAAGAGCCTGAATCGCTCACCTGTATTTCAGAGGAGAAGATTTTTAAATGTTAGCAAACTTGATGAACAAATTGTGTAAAATTGTCTTTAAAGGGTAATAACTCCTTAAGGGGTCAATTGACAATTATGGTCTTATTAACTTTTTTGTAGATCTTACTTTGCTGAACATTATTGTTGTTTACAGTTTATATCTATCTATAATAATATTCAAGATAACAAAAACTGCAAAATTTCCTTAAAACTACCAATTTAGTGGCAGCAACCCAACAATGGGTTGTTCGATTCGTCTGAAAATTTCAGGGCTGATAGATCTTGACCAATTGAACAATTTTACCCCATGTCAGATTTGCTCTGAAAGCTTTAGTTTTTAAGATATAAGCCAAAAACTGCATTTGACCCCTATGTTCTATTTTTAGCCATGGTGGCCATGTTTGTCGATGGATCAAAACTTCGGATACAATTTATAAACTAGATACCCTAAGGAACATTTAGTTAAAGTTTGAAGGTATTTGGCCCAGTAGTTTCAGAGGAGAAGATTTTAGAAATAGTTTACGACGACAGACGACGACAGACGACGGACGACGACGGACGCCAAGTGATGTCATAAGCTCACATAGGGCCCATCGGGCCCCGGTGAGCTAATAATGATAAATATTTAGTACTTCTGAAATAGGTAACAAACTTAAACAAAATCGAATTATTGACAGGATTTAGTGTTTTTACGACCTTTATAGACGAAGAGTTCATAAGCAATTAACGTAACCTGATTATAATTATGTTAAAGTCAGTTGTTTGTTATTAGGTTCGTTAATTTCCCCTTCCCTAAAACAGCGACCTACCTCCAATAACAAACAATATAACTGTAGCCAGTAGTAATCTGTGGGTTCTGTCGCCTTTACGGTATACAAACAGAATGATAACACCTATTGTACAAATTACAACGGACAACATCACCTCCACTTGAAATTCTATCATCCAAAAAATTGTTCTACAATAAAATAAAAAGATATTTCACTTTTGCATATTTTTCGAATATCATTGGTCATTCTAAATTTTTAATACCATTTTTTTGTTGCATATATTTTGATATAAGACGATGCGGAATCTTCCAAATATTTTCGCATATACTTTATTTGCTACATGACACATGCGCTTTGATATAGATAAAAGAATCACACAAGATTATCACAGGGTATATTGTATCAAGATGTTGACAATATACTGGACACAGAAATCACAATTGAATCACACAAACATTGGCTGCATTGCATATAAATCTGTGGGGCCAATTTTTTATGATTGTTTGCTAAAATGTATTTAAATCTACATTTCTCAGCTTCAAATTGTCACTATAACTAGTTTTGTAATTTCATTATTGCAAATTGTAGAGAAATGTTTTGTAAATACCCTGTAATGAACTTTATATAATTATAGCGCTTTTACAATCTATTACGAATTTTGAAAAATGAATATTATACTTGATGTATTAAAATACTTATCCCGAGTAATATAACATGCTATAAGCAGTTCAGAGGTCGCATTTGTTTTGTACTGACATGAAAATGATAATTTCAATTTAATACAATTGTTGTGTATCTACATTTTGACTTTCTGATGAAGATACCCGATTAAAATCTTATCCCAAATTTTATAATAATTTCCATATATAGGTCAAAAGGCAGATTTTTTCTTTTATTTATTATCAATTATGTGTATGCTGCAATTAGCACCCCTCTCCCAATTGATCCAATGTAATGTTTTGAGTTATATTGTGTTCTAAACAAATATTTTATTTAAACTAAATTTTTCTATTTCACTAAGACTTGGCATATGATGGCGATAGTTTACAAAGACAAACGATGAAGTTATAAATTACATACATAAATTGGAAATGAAAAAAAGATGTGGGTTATACAATTTAATGTGACAGCAACCCAATCGACACAACAAAAACAACACAAACTAATCTAAGCTCTAAATCAAACAGTGGTGCACTTATCTATAAGTACAAAAACATGTATGTTCATTTCCTATTTATTAGTACATTTGTGTCACAGACAGGACTTTTCAATAGATTATAGACTTTTGTATCCACTATTTTTATCCTAATATCCCATAAGTTTTGTGTATATACAGTTCATTTATTGGTGAAAACGGGGATAGTCTTTCTTATTAATTGTTAATTATGTGTCTGATGCTGTCAATCCCTAGTTGTTATAGTTTTTTAGATCTTAATAAATAGTTAAATAATCATCAAGTTCGTTCTCTTATTTCAACTGATATCAGACTTAATAATATGATAACAATAGTTAACATGAAAAAAAAAACAATGGATACATTTACATGTACAAACATTGAATATAATCAAAGGGAACTATGGAATATAGTTAAACGAGACAGCAACCCAACGGCATTAAAAATTACCTTTGTACAAACATCCAAGTTTCAGCATAAGGCTTTCAACAATAGGCAGAACAGTATAAAGGAGGTGTGGTATTATTGACAATTAGACAATTATCCAACTGAGACCAAAGAAAGCTGTTGTGAGTAACTACAGGTCACCGTATGGCTTTCAACAATGAGCAAAACCCATACCTTAGAGTAAGCCACAAAAGGTCCCGACATGAACAAATGTGAAATAATTCAAACGAGAAAAATAAGCGTATTTTTTTTCTAAAACAATAAACTAGAACGACAGAAAACAACGACAACCACTGAATTACAGGTATCTCAAAATCATAATCACCCTTACACGCTAGCCAGATTCTTTCTGTTTCAATAAAAAAAAAATACAAACATAGCTTTTTCTTGTTCAACTTAATCTATTTGCTTCATAATCATATAAAGTGCCAAAAACGTTATAGTAAATCTGGGCGTGATCTGCAACCATTAGCTTTAGTTTCCCATTTTAACTCTTCTTAAGCAGAATTCTCCGGCTACAATAACTTGTGTTTTAACGGGGGTTTCGGGAACAAACAGTTTCGACTTTTCATATATCATCCCTCAGCTTTATGTCATGGTCGCCATTTTGGCTTTTTTTTACCAGCAGCAAAACAGTTAGAAAAGAAGAAAAAAATTTGTCCAAAGGTTTCATTTGACATAATATATCAATCGGTTCATTCCATTTGGTCTATTATTCAGGAAGTGGATTGCCATAAGATAGTGACTAACATTTAGTCCAAACAATGTAATTGGCATAACAAAATATTGATAAGTATTTTTTACACTATAGTTCTGTTGGTGAACATACCGTTGATATCTTTCAATATGACGCTTGAAATACTTGTATTAAACTAATCAAAATAATCTTTTTGGAGTGAATTTTATAAAATGTTTACGACGAACGATGAACTCAGTGCTATTGGTTATATATATAACTGTCTGTGGTTTGGTTGTGATAAAGTAAGGAATCGAAATGGTTACTTACGAACTTTGTCTGTTATTGTACTGGTATATTTCATAATAAGTAGATAGTTGACACGATGTTGAACATGTTAATCCATAAAATAAGCTAAAATAAAGACGGTGACTTGCAGTTGGGTACTCCACGACAAACCATCCAGGTATAAATGCTGCAATAGCTATGAAAACAGCGGCACATATTCCTAGTACTAACGGTATTGCACTGTTAATCATAATTAAACAAAATAAAGATTGAACTAAGTAAATAACTTAATATTTATCTAATTATAAGTGTGTCTTTTGAATTTCCGGATTTTTTCACCTTTTTCCTGTTTACAAGTGTTTTCTTATTTATACATTTTGCATACATTATATTTACATTAAATACATGTATTTCATATAAAGCTGATGATGTAATAAAATCTAAAACATGTCTTTAAATTTTAAAGAAATGTTGTAAAATATGGTATATAATAATTCTTTTAATAGATAGTCTCTCATAATTTTAAATAGAGTGACATTTGTGAATTTAACACTTAAATGCCAATGTATAATTGATACTCTTTAATATTCGAACCCAGCAGTTCGTAAGGGTCGTCAAGTTGGTTACTAATTCCTTATTCCTTATTCCTTATTCGTTACTTATTTCTTATTCATTATTCGTTACCTATTCGTTACTTATTCCTTATTCCTTATTCGTTACTTATTCATTCCTTATTCGCTTTTAATATGTTGCCCCTTTTAATGCTTTCTTTTCTTTTCTTGACCCTGTGTAAGATATTTGTTCGGTTAGGTGAAATAACCCTGTTAGCGCGTATGTACCCGTTTCCGCGCTCTAATGGTACCCTGTTACTTATTCGCTACTTATTCGTTCCTTGTTCGCTTTTAATATATTGCTCCCTTTTAATGGTTTCTTTTCTTTTCTTGTCTCTGGTGTTAGTTATTGGTTCGTAGAGGGGAAATTACCCTGTTAGCGCGTATGTATTCGTTTCCAACTTTTAGATGAATCAAAATTTGTGGAAAATGGCCATGACTTGTTCAATACATTTGACGAAATACAGAACCATTGAGCAAGAAGTCAAAAAGGTATTTTCTAACTGGGCATCTAATTGTATTCCATTTTTGGTAAATTATATAAGAAAGGACATTTTTTCTCTTAATCATAGATCATTCAACTCGATTATCATCGGCGGTTTCATTTTTTTGTCCACACATGCTAAACAGAAACTATTCATATCTCTCCCTCTCTCCCATATGGAAATTGCGTCAATACTTACAATTACGGCTTAAACGTGGCTGACATTTTTTTGTCTTATGCTTTATCTTAGAAGTATGAATAAAATTTGTTTAATTTGAAAAGAAATTCTGTGTAATTTCTTTTTAGTGAGATCATACAACATACATGTTGGAATGTTTTCGGTAATTGGTGTTTTTATTTTTATACAATTTTCTAGAACAACTTTTGTAAGTCAGGATTAGGTAATGAAAGATCAAACTTATCTCTCAACTTTAACATATTGTATTTACAATTTTTCACCTCTAACATATTATATTTGCGCATTTTCACCTCTTACATATTGTATTTACGCATTTTCACCTCCTACATATTGTATTTACACATTTCAGTTGTTATGCTACATTGTCTTGGTTTCTCAACAAAGAAAGAAATGCTGACTAGAATCAACGATTAAGTGCTCTCCGTAATAAAGCCGAATTCCACAGTATGTATCAATATTCGTGAACATTTTTAAGTTGCACTTCAAGAAAAGATATAAAGTTTATAACAGTACGTAACAATCACAGTTTGAAATATAAACACTGATAATATATACCTACAGTGATTAAGGTAGGTAGCCACCAAGGGTCAATTAATGTCACTATTTATTAAAACACAATTGGTCTTCTAGATATTTAAAATCTTCATCCGATCCCAATCCGAAATTTCTATCGAAAGGGAAGTAGTGTATTGTCCTTGAGCGGAAATTCTTCAAAACATGTATATTTTGCCAAAAAACCTACCACCAAAGCTGTTTTTAAACAAATGTGTGGACTGGATAACATTACTAAAAATTTTAAACCAATACAGAGGATAATCACTATACTTATTGCCTTTCACCACCATTCCAAGGTAAAATTGATAAAGACAAAAAGTACCGTGGTATATTTCAGCTAGAACATGATATACGACTCGAAAACTATGATTCATTAAAAACGAATCCGTACATTAACTGACATGGTTTCTGAAATTACACGGATTACACGGATGTATACCTTCATTTTATGCACGACTGTGGTTATAAATAACAACAACTAGTATATTATACGAAAATGTTTGAATACACAGTTTTTTTTTTTTCAAACATTTCCCTTTTTATGGATTATACAGCTATGAACTGAGTTTTTACAGTGAATAAAAAAATAAATTAAAAAAAAAGGTATGAGATATTGACCCTTTGATTTACATATGCTAAAACGCAATATGAATTACAACTGTCGCCCAAAAAGGCAATTATACAAGTGTCTCTTGTGATTTTTCATTCACCAAAAAAAGTAATTTGTACAGCGACTGAGTTTGTAAGAACATTAAGCAGAAATATTCGCGAAAATTTACTACTGTAAAGTTAAGTCTAGCAAATCTCTATTTTTTCTAAATTACTAGTATAAAGCTTACGTTTCGTGTCAAAAACAAGATTTGGTATGCTTGCCAATGAGATAAATCTTCACAAGAGACCAAATGACACAGAAATTAACAACTTTGTAGACAGCTTTCTCACAAGCAAAAAACCCTAACTGTAAAAATATAAGGGCATATTATACTGCATCCACACAGCACGAGTAACAAACCCTACAGTAAATATATAATAATAATATGGTACATTCCAATATACACTGAGTTGTTAGATCTAATACAGTTTTATCTAGAGGTATGGACATTTGGCAATTCGCTATTTATTTCTTTGAAATAATACATTTGTTTTGGTGGACCTATCGTAAAAAAAGTTGAAGACCTGTTTTATTGAAATGAAAAAATAAATACTAGTGTATTATATATATACATCTACAGCGTAGAGATCGTAGTGTGCCCCTTTCCAAACATTTACCACCATTCAAAACGCAATGAACAGCATAAACATTTTGTTTGTTTAACAGGTGACAATTGCATAGTATATTTTTAAATAATGATTCTGTTTTTTCGATATAAAGAGCTACATTGAGACAGAGACTACGGAGATTAATGTTCAACAGGTTGAGATGTATATGTGTGTCGGTGAAAAGGACTAAAAAGTATGCACTAGTTTATTTTGTGCATTACAATCTCAATTATATATATCTATAGTGATTGACATATCTGTATCAAAGTTTGTTCTATCAAATACCCTGTAATCGTACCAATTTGTGTATATTACATATCGGTTTTATCCATTTTATGAACAGAGGTGCTTTAAGGGAGAATTTCTCTTCATCTTATTTTTTTATAATTTGGATAACACAATATTTTAGCCCCTTTAGCAAAACAGACACGATATTTGAAGTTTTCTGGTTAACAGTTAAAACAGAGATATATTAAAAAATCTGAATGCATACCTGCATAGTTATTTGTACAAGTATTGAACAATATCTAAGCATACTGTTTAGACACTACTTGATAGATATTGATGATTTACATGTAGTTTACCTTTCAGACACCCCAATTATCATTATTATTGTTATCCCCTTATTTTCTCACTACCTGTCATAATTGTGTTCATTGACTATGGTGTAATGTGTTTCTGCAACTGTTTACGGGTTTTTATTAGCGTATGTCTTATCATTGGAATCTCAGGTAAGACCGTGTTTTTCTCTTTAAATGTTAAATGCGTTTCCTCCTATATCATACACAAAACAAGTGGGAGGGGAGAGAAGAGGTGGTACGCGCTTTCCTTCTTATCATGAAATATGGGCGACAGTAAATGAAACGTTAGTAAATAAAAAAGTTCATTAATACTTTTGCTTGTATGAAATTTTGGTGATCATTTTTGAATGCTGCAATTCTTGTAAAGAAAACGATGGAAGTAACGGATTTTTACCTTCTAAAGTTATTTTCATTTAAAAAGAATAAAAAGATAGTAGCACATTTACGTGAGACAGCAACCCAACAACACAACATAAACTTAAAAAAAAAAACAGTGTCTATACAATATGTCAAACTGAAATTATCTCTGAATCGGAATAGTGTTCTTGAATTCAACAGAGGTTGATTGATTGGTAACTTCTTAACGCCAAGCAGTAAACAATGCATGCATTTTCATGAAAATAATGTGTAAATCAATAGCTATGAACACGAAATATGCTAGGTTCTAGACCGACAAGCTGAGTCATATTTTTAAAGTGCTATCGAACACGACTCATATCTCTTCTTACATCTTGAAAATGACAATCAGGGTTGGTTGAGTGCTAACCTTTACTTCAAAAGAATTGACTCCAGCTTTCAATTGTGAATTGTCCATTTCTGTGTAGCAACCTTCCAACAAAGTCAACATATGGAGTGCACGGCTTCCAGTTTATACGATACTCCAGGTCTTGTTTTGCTATCATGATTTACTTGATAGATGGTTCCTGCTAATAAGGTTCGTAGTGGTAAAATTGAAATCATTCCTTGAAAGTTTTCTGTATTCATGATTTGGTTGACCATTATTGAATATCTGTGTCATGGAAGACCACGAATGTGTTCCGATTGTCGTAGCTCCATTCCCTTTCTCTTTTCCTCCATTGTGAAATTTCTGAATGAGATATCATCACGGATTCCACGCATGGAGTAGGATCTGCTTACTCTTCCGGAGCACCAGAAGTGAACTCCGGTTTTTGGTGGGGTTGTATTGCACAACCTTTAGTTTCTGTGTAGAATTTTTAGACTGTGTGTGTTTTCGTCGTTTTTTTTTCTTTTTAGATGGAATTGCCTTTTTCTGACTTTTTTTTTAATTGTTCCTTTTTGTCATCTTCTGTCTCTTTTTCCTGTTTCTTTTAGACATTTCCTAGTCCTTCACTTTTTAAAGCCCCACGGCTTCTTCATAATTCTTCATGCAAGAAGATGACCCTTACTTTCTATAAAAATGTACAATGTATTCAGTGAAGATTCCACAAAAATGTTTAATAATTAATATATCCGTTTGTCTTTCATCAAAAGTATCTATATTGTGTTGCCGGTGCTCTTGCGTCATTTAAAAACAAATGTTAAATTTTAGATTAATATTAATTTTATGAAAGATTAACATAGCTAATTTGATATTATTTTCGTTTTGTTACTGATAATTAAATAAATATTCATATCTGGGCTAAGATATCC